CCAATGAAAACAGCTACTGCAAAGGAATTCGCAAAGATCTTTGTGAAGCATGTAATTCTGGTACACGGAGCGCCACATATTCTCCACACGGATCGCGGAAGACATTTCACCGCAGAAGTGCTGAAAAAGGTCACCAACGTGTTCAAAATCAAACACACGTTTGGAACAGCGTACCATCCTGAAGGTCAAGGACAGGTTGAAAGACAGATGCAGACCATCAGTGATGGATTGTCGCAGTACCTAAAAGCGGGAAATGAAAGGAAGTTCAACAAGTATCTTCCATACGTCATATCGGCAATGAACCGTGCAGTACATGCAACGACGGGGTATTCAGCGTACTACATGCTTCACGGGAGAGAAATGACCATGCCAGAAGACGTAGTGACGAAGACGAACGTTCCTGACGACTACGGTGCACCAGACGAATGGGTCGAAACCATGAAAAGGAACTTGACCTTTTCAGAGGAAGTGGCGAAGTGCAACATCAAAGATGCTTATGAAAAGCACGCGGAAATCTACAACAAGAAGAAGTCGGAGCCGCAATTCAAAGTCGGTGATAGAGTCTTAATCAGACTGCCGAAAGATACAAAGCAAGGAAAGAAGGAGAATCAAACCGACTTCAAGAATAAATATGACAAAGTATGGAAGATTCTCAGTTTCCCGAGACCGAACGAAGTCGAAGTCATCGAACAAGATGCGGTGAAGGAACCGGATTTACGAGTCGTTTCGGTGGATCGTCTGAAACCGTGGCACCCACCGTTACCGGTTCAGAAAGGTCAAGCTGAAAGGGCAGCTTCGGAGATAATTGAGAAAGATCAAGATGAAGCAGAGCGTAGTCGTCAGCATACTTCCGAACCACGCTCTTTACCGGAATTGGCAGAAGAGCCAAAAGAGGCAGAAGAGCCAAAAGAGGCAGAAGAGCCGATAGAGGCGGAAGAGCCAAAAGAGGCGGAAGAGCCAGTTAAGAAAAAGAGAGGAAGACAGAAGAAAGAGGTTAAAGACTTTGAGACGCCAGTCACGATGAAGCTTAGTCAAGAAGCGGGGAACTTGAACACGATTGAGCAAAATGAAAGGTCACACCGAAACGAGGATAAAGAAAGCGCAGAGCATGGATCTAAACTGGCAACTACTTTTGAACCACGCTCCGCTACTAATGTCAGGGATGACCTTTCAAGAGCGAAAATGGATGAGCCTGCTCGCAGAGTAGCAGAGCGGAAATCTCAAGATACTTTCGAACCACGTTCTGCTACCAACGGCAAGAATGACCTTTCAAGAGCGGAACAGATAAAAGCCGTCAAAGAACAAGCCGACCAACTTGGCCAACGGATCGCAAACGAGATTGAAAAGCGAAAGGTCAAGAAACTTAAGAAAACTCCGAAGCCGACTCCAGAACAAATTCTGAGAGGGGAAGTCCAAGACGAAGACGAAGCCGACAAAGCATTACTTGATCGGATAACAAAAGGACGAAAACAAATAAACCCGAAAGTCAGGCTTATTGGAGTTTATGATATAATGACCGGAACATGGGACGGCATAAAGGTCATCAGAAATAAACCCGCTAATCGAAGTCATTTCCGATCACGCCGTTGAATGAAAATCGCTCATGAACGATTGGCTCAAAACGAAAGGGAACGGAAGGATCAAAGAGCGAGTGAAACACTTAAAGGTCATCAAAATTCAGTGGGAAGCTCAGCCGGGGCGGAAGGTCACCCGAGCTCAAGTAACAGAGGAAGAAATTATTGACTTCGCTGAAAGTCGCTCATGAGAGAATGGTACTGAGCAGGCAAGAGGGAAGGACCAAGAAGAAGTTGGAAGCTAAAGGTCATCCGACTTAAGACGAAAAGTTTGCAGCCAAAGGTCACCAGACTTCAGCTGAAAAGTTGGAAGATAAAGGTCATCAGACTTTATCCGGCAAGCTGGGATCTAAAGGGCAGCAGAAATTGCAGCCGGGGGGGAAGGTCACCCGAGCTGAAGCGATGAGAAGGAGAAGTAGCGCCCAGTTAGAGAACTCAGCGGGGAACTTAGCACTCAACGAAGGAAGGACTGAAAGGTCATGGCGCTTATGAAGCAGAAAAAGGTCACCGTACATTAGCAAGAAGCAAAGTGTGGGAGGAAGGTCTACCGCACAAAATGAAGAATCAGAACCAGAAATGAGAAGGAGATGAGCAGACCGTAGTTCTCAAATTACTTTCGAACCACACTCTACAAGAAGAGTAGCGAATGAGCTAAGATGGGAAAGGTCATCCACATACAGTTGAGAATGGTTCAGCTAATGAAGGATGACAAAGGTCATCATCAAAGAGCAGCGAAAAGTTTCAGCTCAGCACTGAATAGCCTTTTTATCATAGGCTTAAAGATAGACGTTGGAAAATGAAAACAATGAAAGGTCACGGGACTTACAAATTTTGAGATTGTAGGTGAAAACTGAGAAAAATGGCTGAACGGAGCCAAACTGATCAGAAGACAGAGAAGGGACGGAGACCGTCGATCGTAAAGGTCACCGGCGACCCGTTGACAAATTACAACAAGGATTGCCCGGATTGCAAGCGCAACAACATTCTTTCAGGTGAACGATTCCCTTGTTGGGAATGCGTGGTCGCCGTGCCGATGCCAAATCAATTCCTGGTAATTCCGCAGGAAGCAAAAAGAGGCAACCTAGATGTATTTCGACACCTGGTCAGAAGAAAAACGTGGCTGAAACTATCGCCCGAAGATAGAGTGATTTTGGAGGATAAATACCGAATGTGGGTAGGACGCAGACCTGGATGGGACGTCACCCTTGAACCTCCTAAAACTGCGGAAGCGAATGCGTTTAGAAAGCAAATATTGCAAGAAAAGCGTGAAGCAGAAAGAAAGCGTTTGAAAGAAAGAAAGAAAGCTGCGGCAGAGAAGGGTTTAGCCAATGCAGCTAAAGGTCATGCGGGACTTGCAGCACCCGTTTCGGACGCGATTTTTAAGAAACAAGACGTACAGGAGGCGGTTATACGCGAATCACTCATCCAGCAATTGGACATCATCCTTAAGGATCCACTCTCACTAACAAAAGAGGAACATAAAATATTTCTGCAAGAAAAGGTCAACCTGACGGAAGGAGGCCGATGGTCGCAAGTCATCAAAATTTTGATCGAGGACAAAATTGAGAACATGCGCAAATTCCTCATGCAGCAAAACGAAATGACGGAAACCGAAAGAAATTTCAAGAGAGACGAGTTCAAACGACCGAAATTACCGCCGAAAGAAACGTATCAGTCGGGCTTGGCAAGGTCAGCCGACAGAAATGAAAGGTCACATGTGTACGAAAGGTCGTCCGATCATCCTCGACAAAGGTTATGGAAACATGAAAGGTCATGCGTTTATGAAAGGTCATCCGATCATTCTCGAAAAAGGTCACGAGAATTGGAAAGGTCACGAGTCTGCGAAAGGTCATCCAATCATCCTCGAGAAAGGTCACGGGACTTAAAAAGCGCGCATGGTTGACGCGAGAGATCACCTGATCCGTATCCAACGCAGACGTGACCGAAATCGTCACAGTGCTACTAGCAGCCGGAGCGAAGGAGACGAGCTGCAAGAGAGGGAGAAAGGGAACCTCGAGATCGAACGTCTGATCGTAATGAAAAAGAAAGACGACGTTTCGATCGGAACCGCGACAACGGTTCAAATGATCAGTGATGACCTTTAGGGCATCGCTGACGTGCTAGTTACGGCCATCAGTCGGCAGCACGAGAATGGTGATAAAGGTACAGTATCAGGGCGAAGGAGACATAACTTGTTGAACTGTCATATCGTTTGTGTTTCTATTGGTTTCAGAGTTTTGTTGCAGAGGATCAAGGCGATTCGAAATATGGGGAGTTACGGAGGTCATCCGGCCCCCGAAGCAGGAAGAGTAACGGCGCTAACCGGCCTTCCTCATTACATTTAAAACGTCACTTTTAGAGTGTAGTTGCGGCCTACTGAGTCGGCACACTCTCGCGGAATGACAGAAGCCACAAGGGTGAAAAAGAGAAAGAGTTCAAGAAAATAAGGGTAAAACTTTCAGAAGTTGAGGTTACGGCGACAACCGGCCTCAGAAGAAAGAGGAGTTACGGCGTTAACCGGCCCTCTAACCTGGTAAGGAAAAGAAAAAGTGCGCGTCAATTTGCACTACACGGAAAAGAAAAGGATGTGCGATCGAAGAAAATGGTTGAAAAGAAGGATGACCTTTACAAGGGAGGCAAGCAGAAATGCTTGAAAGCCAAAAAACGGCTAAGTTCCTCCATGACCTAAAATACGGAACTCATTATGGAACAATGGATGACCTTTTGGGATCGTCACGGCCCAAACGAGTCGCACATCAAAGAGAAAGGGATGACCTTGAGAACTTCACTGCTCAAGAGAGTCATCGAGAAAAAAAAGAATGACCTTACCAGGGAGGAAGCATTAAGCTTGTCTTTCAAGACGTCCCTCCATGTCCAAGAGGAAGAATCTCATTTTGCAGAAGTCGTACTTGATACGCAATTATTCCAAAGATGAAGCATCAGTATTGCAAAAAGTCGTACTTGATACGCACCTTATTCCTTAAAGCGGATCTCTCATTGTGATGAAAAGATTGCTCAACAGAGCGGAATGGACCAAAGCGGATTACGGTTGACAGGACCCAGTGACCTTTAGGAGTCGGAGGATCCTAGTCGTTTTGATAATGGATTCTGTTGATATTTTTTTTACTGTTTTTACTTTTGTTTCGAGATCTCTTTATTCACACATGTAATTGGAATTTGTGATGTTAAAGGGAGATTAAATCTCGATGTTTTATTAAACACACAGACGAGCCGTCAAGGATCCCAAGGAATTGGACGTGGATTTGCTTCGACGGAGCTCAGCCTCCCTCCCAGAGGCATGCGAGCGCAGGCGTACATGCGTACACCCTCGCTTTGGCAGTCTGTTGTGTCTTGCTGCACGCCCGCCTTACGCGAGGCGGAAGCATGGTGTTCTGTGCGCACCCGCACTGTGTGGCGGCTACGTGCGCATTTTCCACGCTTGCTGCAGTCAGCAATGCGGAGTTGTCTATGAGGAAATTCTATCGAATTTAGTCTTGCTCATAAAGTTCTTGCAATCGCGTCGTTTCTCGCTTTCCATAGCGTAGGCGCTTTATAGCATTGCTAGATCTGTTTGGCAGCCAGAATTCCGTTAATTCTGTTCTGCGCGTGAACCTTCACCAGGTCCACGCTTATAATATGATTATTAATCATATGCGTGCTGGACCATGAACCATTCGAAATTTCATGAAAATAATCGTGTGTAAATACGGCAGCCCAGCGAAATCATTCTTCTGAATGATCAAGCGGTGGCAGTTTTCCAGCACAAAGTCTACGAGGTTGGTAAATGCCAGTGAGGAGAGCTTTTTGGTGCTGGCACCGTCGATACAGTTTTCCAGACCGAAATAATAAACTCGCGGCCGGATTATGGCAAACGCCCGATACGCCACGTAATCACCGTCAGGCAGAAAAATGCTGATGTCCCTGAATGACAGTTTGACCATGTTGTAGGTCATATCCTGCAATTCTCGAATGGTTATTGCAGACTGACAGCGGATAGCCAAAACCCCGCTACGAGCTGTGGTGGAGAAATAGTCCACGGGGAGAACCCCATCATCATAGTCAGGAGGCCGGCATTTCGTACTAAACTGAGCGAGACATTCGGCTGCGGTCATGTTAAGCATGCTTTGCGGTGGAAATGAAACGGTTGATCCACTGTACTGTTTGTACCACTCGCTAGCTGGCTCTTTCTGGCAGTTCAATGGCACATTGATTGAGAATTTTGGCTGCGTGAAATTAATCATCCTCAAATGAGAAGGAAATGGTTCCGCGGCACAGTCAATGGGAAGAAAGATTTCCACAGTCTGTAAATCCGGATTCGTCAAGTACGACAGTCTGCGGTTACTGCTGTCGAATGGGCTTTTTAAGATTTTACTTTCTTCCCACCATCTGCGAAACCATTCGAGTTCGCAGCTGCAGTGAAGGTATTTTAGTAAATCTTGCATTTCCTGTGTAAATACCGGAAAGTTTTGAATCTTATCGTGCCACTGCAAGAGATGCAACTGCTCCAAGTTGATGAAGGTGTCTTTCTCCAAAATCTGCAGCGTCGTGTTTGTGAAGCTGATTACGAGCAGTTTTCGAAACTGCGCAAAATCTTGTTTCCGGATGATCATTCTGCGGCAGCCTACCATTTGGAATTGGTGTAAATTGCTAACTTCAAGCGAAGGCAGTCGGGATGTTGCATGCGCCACAGAGCATGCGAACATGGACAGCATGGTCACTTGCAAATTAACGAGGTGCAAAGGGCCGGGAATAATTAGTGGCTCTGGAAGAACGACTCCGACTTCGCGCAAGGGATGCTTAGCCACCGCCGACGCCATCTTCCACAAATAATCCGTATCGGCCTCGAACCAACAAGAAATAATAAGCAATTTGGAGGTTCTGCATTGATCATTGCTTTCTAGAGCGAATCCACAGTTCTCGTTAAACTGTAAATCACACTCTTCTGGAGTTAGATTAGTCTGGACAAATCGAGGTGGCGGTTGTTCGTGCGGCATGTGCTTTCCCGAGTCCACCTGGCACTTGTAGGCAGCCCGTAGCTTAGCTATATCTCTCACTGTCAGACGCTTTCGCTGTCCCATCGCCAAATGGGGACTGGCAATCCTCGGCTTAATAACCGGAACACTACGGGATTTGGCGAAATCAAAGGCGCCGTAGTGCATAATGGATTGCAGATCGTATTCAATTCCGTATGTCGGCGCATCGGGCTTCTTCACGAAGTTGGCTTCGTGACCCGCCAATATTTCGTTGTAGCCAATCTCAACGTATGCATCGCGATCGGGCCTTGAATGTTCATGATACATGACCAGCGCATGCAGAATTTCATGTTGCACAATCCCCGACACGATGCAGGAAGCGTCAGCATCGGCCCTCAAGAAAAGCGGTTGCCCGGCGCCTCCGCTGCCACGTCTCATTCCGAGGACCGACGAACAACTGCACAGCGCCGCATTCGTCATTTACACTGACCAGGGCACATAGGGGTCCTCCAAATTCAGAAAAATTTCATATTTCGTAAAATGGGAGTATACTATCGTAGTATGCTTAAAAATACTTTCATCTGCCATGGTCAAAGGGGCGTGGCCAGACAGCAAATAAAAGTTTGCATATTATCACATACTGATGATACTATGCAATGCAGTGAGTGGAGACTGTGGAGTTATTCGTAATTAGTTTTATATTGAACTTTTACTGTAGCACCGTGAACTTTTGCATTTGTCGAGTGGTGATCTAAACGAAGCCCACGTGCGGTGGCTCGTGTCATTGCTGCCTAAACACACATTTTCGAAAATTTGTTATGAAGTGCTGAACGAGTACGTACATATCTGCTAATTAGTAAAAGAAGTTTTTTGCACGGTTTACTACTTACAATACAAATTGTTAAAAAATTTTCAAAAATGTACACTCAGGCAGCAATGACACGAGCCGCCGCACGTGGGCATCGCTTACATCACCACTCGACAGCTGCAAAAGTTCACGGTGCTACAGTAAAAATTCAATATAAAACTAATTACGAATAACTCCTTTCACTGCATTGCAAAGTATGTGATATTATGCAAACTTTTAAATGCTGTCTGGCCACGCCCCCTTGACCATGGCAGATGAAAATATTTTTTTAAGCATACTACGATAGTATACTACCCTTTTACGAAATATGAAATTTTCTGAATTTGAGGATCCCTATGTGCACTGGTGAGTAGCGCACATTCACAATGCACCTGATGATACACACGATGCACAAGGTGGCACTCACTTGTCTCCACGTTGAAAGAGTATAAAATCCTCTTCGGCAGTTCTTTTAGCGAAACTGATGCAGCCGAATGTGGCATCTTCAATCCGATGCATTGCGTTCTCGATCAGAAATGTGCTATATGCGTCTGCCAGCATAGGCTGTATTAGACTATCGCGCCACCAAATAACGAAGAAAGTGTTAGCCGTGATTAAACTGCAGCAAGTGACCCACCGAATGCGAAGCTGATTGTATAGGGAACACTTCCTCCCGGCCAGGTCGTGATGGCTTCGCTTTGCCTGTCTGCAAAGGATGCAATGTCGTCATAGTGACCCATACCAGTAACCGCACTATGCCATTGCCGACGAACCGATTATACCGTAAAGGACGTAAGTTACCGGCTAGGAGTAGCGCGGGTCTGTGACTCTCTGTAGCCCATTACTGTGTAGCACCAAACCGATCATCAGTTACGGTCTTGGACCAGGGCATGTCTGATAAGTCAACGGAGGCTATCGGTATGTCCGATTATACACATGTATTCACCGGAAAAGCGGTATCGGATATTTTGGTATCGTATCGGATCGGAAGAACTGTTTATCGGACGTAGCGGCAAAATTTACAGCGTAACGAGATTTTCACTCGCGAATCGCGATCGATAAAAGGAGAATAAAGATAATTTTAAATTTTTCCGATTGACTTTTTATATAAGCAGGAAGTGAGTCATGACGTGAGTTTTTATGCTGCCGAGTGCCGACTCACTGAGAGACGTCTCCACATCACTGAGTATAAATCGGAAATTCAATTTTTTGAATCGCACCGGTGAACACCGGCCAAAGCCAGTTTTCACTTCAAAATTTTCCGTTTTTTTATCGGATTATCAGATTTACCGTAGCTGTAGTTTTAAGCAAAATTGTAGCTATATCGGAATCGTATAATACACTTAGATTACAGGATCGGCATCGTAGCGGCGACGAAAAACTTGTCCTAGACCAGCCCTGTTATTTCCCTACCGCTCTTAGTCGATGTGTTGGCTTGGTGGAAAAAGTCGCTATCCATTGCGCTAGCATACATTATGTCGTCCTGCAACACGTTTATCGTGCTCCGCTCGGATAATTGATCACGCAGCGATGTTTCGTTGATCTCGTGGTTCCCATCTAAAAATTAAGTACAAGTATGGATCAGGATTTAATTTGCAACAGTTTAAAAGAAAATCGAAGAAAACCGCCAGAAAGAGCAGAACTACCGTATCACCTTCCGCAAAGAAATCATCTTGCAGCTCGTCGTCATGGTAGTCTCTCGCGTCCCACTCAGCATATAAGCGCGGGAGAAGAATGACACAAGAAATTAGTGCTGTATAATACATTTGAAAAAGTATGACCGAAAGCACAAATGTGCTGTTTATGGTATTAACGACTTAATGTTAATTACATAATTTACATTTCTTTGGTCAATGCGCTCGGCACGCATTACTGCATTAACTGCACATTGCTCTCAGTTGCTGCTATACTTTCAATAACCGCAAACTAACAGCATCGTCTGATACTTTTCGATCCGTATCAGCGCATGATACGATACACATACGATTCGTATCAGTGCGCTCATTTCCGCTAAGATGGAAACTGGAACTCTTTTCAAATGCTTTTGCTGCTGTCCGTGTAACATTACAGACATACAATTTTGAAACCTGCTGGAGGATGCCCGTTGATGCACTGCAGTGGCTGACGATTACGGGCCGCTGTACGGCAACAGCAAATGTCCCGGAGCGGCGCCACAGTGGACAGTCTTGAGTCGGTAACTGCATCCGGCCAAAGCCCGACCGAGTCATTCACTTTCCATGGCTTGACTTCGCCGAATCGACAACGATTATGTGGACTTTGAGTCTTCTCGTTTCACTATGTTTACACTATGTTTACATTATTTTCATTTTCTGAATTGATTAAAATAATGCTGGTGACGGTCGTTCAACTAAAATACTTGATACTGTTGGTTGCTTTGCCAGGAGTATACCAGCAGCTTACCGATGAAGAATACGCCAGGTATGTAACAAACATATACTGATGAAAACGTTTCGGATATTGTTTTGTTTCTCGCCCGACCACCTGACCAATGAACCGTCTGGCCCAACATTTAACGATAAACCAAACATTTATTGGCCAACCGAACGTTTATAAAAGCTAAATGATAAAATCTCTTTTTTCGTCTGTTTTATATGAGCGTAAAATTCCTTGATCGCACATGTTGTCCTGAACTATGTTATGCTGAATGCTATTGTAGCGAACCAGAGCTGGAAAGGCCGGAAACGCCCAATCAAGATTTGACTCCACCGGCATCCCGTTTTCTGGGCGCCGGCTACGATGTGCAGTACGCTCATCCCTTCTCGCTGAATCTGGATTCAGGTATCACCCGCAACAGCTTCACGTCGACGAAGCTCCTGAAGCTGAAGTACGCCAGTTATGCCCACTGCCCATTTCACGCCAAATGCCAGCTATTCCCGGGTACCGGCGCACCTAAGCGGATTACTGTTGCCGTGCGCACCTTCGCTGATTACCAGAAGCGCATCAAAACCACGCTTCATCTGTCGTCTAGAAACACGGTAAGAAATGAAGCGTCTAAATAACTTATGACATCGAAAAACACTTTGCAGTGACGATCGAAAACTTTTTCCTTGACAAGGTAAAATTCCAATTAACTTTTTGTAGAGACTTGTGAACAACAGTATCGGTATTTCGGCTGAAGAATTAGATGAAACGCGGGTTCATCTGAACGACGGTTTGCTTTTCGTTGACTATATTAACACATTGATAATTGAAGAAGACCGGCTTGACCATAATGCGTCCCAGCAGGTTTCTCTTCAAGACGATTTTGCTGACAGTATCTGTCGGCTCCCCGAACAGTACGACACCGACGAGTACGTGAACTTTCTCAAACGCTTCGGCACGCACATGATAGAGAAATTACAGTTGGTAAAGCTTATCGCGAACCCGTGTGTTCGTGGACCCGAAAGCGTTGTTCCAGTACTTGGTCCGCACCGGCACGACCTTTACTGGCGACAGTGCCCACTGGGCGGACGGTGTACAACTGCGGCATGTTACCGACAGAATGCTCCTAAAAATTGCCGATGATTTAAGGAAGAACCCGCGCTCGGACAGCGCTGTCAACGAGACTGCTGTGCATAACGTTACTGTGCCGGTTCGTGTAACTGAAACTCCGCAGCTGCTTAGCATGGTTGATCAGAATCGGTCTCTTGCGGAGAACTGCAGGTACTGTAACAAGTGGCCTTAGTGCAATAACATCTGAGGCAAACAATTATGCGCTGTACACTGTTATGCGTTCCTATTGCACGCTGTTTATCGATTTTATTAATAAAATTTACAAACGGCACATTTAATCTTCCTTTTTTTACAGAGAACTATTCGATGGATGTCCCAAGCTAATCAGACGGTTTGGATGAAAACCGTTCAGGACAACTTGCACCGAGCGATAGAGGACTACAGCAATGAAACCCCCATCGAAAATCCAATTGTCGCACCACAGACGCTTCCCTGGCCGATGGAAATCCGCAATCAGATCCGAGCCATCCAAACCCGGCATTTTTTAGCGGGTGAGCGGCATTCTTGTGTCAGCGACGCCTACATTAACATCCTGGGCCATGGATACGACCTTCTGCGCGCCGACCCGCTGGGGACGGAATTTCACGCCGGGATAGGTAACTGATTATGGCACCGCGACATTTCGCCGCGGACAACTAGTCGCAGGACTTTTGGTCGCAGACATTTCACCGCAAGCCCATCTCGTCTCGCGACGTTTCGACGCAGGACTTTTCGTCGGTAGGACTTTACGCCGCGAGACTTTCCGTCGAATAGCCGTTTCGACGCAAGGAAATTTCGTAACAAGGACATCTCGACGAAGCGACATTTCGCCTACCAGATAAATGATTTACAAAGCTAACTAAAATAGTCAGAAAAGCGGAAAATGGAAATCAAAACCAAACGAACAACCTAAGAAACCTAAGAAATCAAAGAAACCTAAGAAACCTAATAAACCTAAGAAACCGGTAAGCAGTCGCATCGTTCGAAAAGTCCCAAGACGAATGGTCCGCGACCAGACGTCTTGCGTCGAAATGTCGCAAAGGTAAAATGCCTCAAAGCATAAAGTCCCAAACCGAAGTGTCCCAGCGTCCGAATGTTCGGCGACGAAATGTCTTCGCGGCGAAAAGTCGCGCGTCGAATTTGAGTGCGGCGAAATGTCACACGCCCAATTGTCCGGGTGCGCTGATTATTGGGCTGTCACAGCAGCCCACTGCTGTGAAGTGTGCTTACGTCACGAACTTTCCTGGTGTAGCGTCCTCGTGAGCGTGTGGGACCTGAACCCATTCTTTCCTCCACGGAGAACAAAAACACTAAGGCTGGAGAATACCACACTTCATGATAAACGGGAAGGAGAATAAATGGGAAGGAGAGAATACCGTTTCTGACACCTGCCTCATCAAATCTCCAATCGTGAGTGAAGGTGCTCTTCTCTAACACATCCGTAATCCTTATGTTGATGAGCATCGTTGGACCGCGTGATAAAAAGTGATTGTTTTATAATCATAATGTTTTTTTCTTAAAGTACCACTTGTTATACAGAGTTATAAAAAATGTCATAGATCAACAGTCTTTTATTAATCACAAAGTGTATTAATCACAAAGTGAACTAAGAAATTACTGATGGAATCCGGAAAAAATACAGGACTAGCTTTAGAACCTGAACTCGTGCAAAACTAGTTTGTGATACAAAACTAACATATGATGTTTTTAAACAGAAAATCCACTTCAGCAAATATGTGAATTTCATTCGTCTCGCAAGTCCTGGTTTGGAAGTTAAAAATGGCACGAAATGTTTTATCATGGGGTGGGGAAAAACAGTGTGCGACGAAAATGAGACATCTGACGACAACAGCCTTGAAGATTTAATGGAAGATCCGGAAATGGAAACGGAACCGTCTGGGAACTTTTCGATGTGGCGCATGTCCCGAATGAACGCACCAGCGTATAGACTGAGATTTTTAAATAATGTGACAAAGATGGATATTGTAAATTGCAGCAAATGCCAGAAGGCCAGGGTTGTGCCATGTGTCCACTGGATGCCGGACCCTATACAGGCGGTAGCGGCGCACCGCTTATTTGCACAACGGAAAATGGAACGGACTATGCTTTTGCAACGTTTATAAAAAAGTGAGATAATTATGCGCTACTGCATAAATTTGTGATATGGTTTTAATGTCGCGTTTAGTTGTTGAAAAGAAGTTCTCCTTGCAGCTGATGCAGGATAGCAAACATATATCCAGCGATGTATGTCGATAACCAGAACGAAGAAGTCTTCAGTTGGATTAAACGGACAACTGGAACGTAAACCCGTGTGTTCGTGGACACACTGAATTCGAAAGATTCTCCAGCAACATGGCCGAATTTCCCGTTGCTTCCTTTTTATCAGACGAACTTGACGGAGGGCGCTCGGTTTATGGACTGGCTGCCACATTGATGTTTTTGATTCTAGTTACCTTTTATGGTATTTTTAAAGTTAGAACGTTTTATAGCATTACTGCTAATAGGCAGACAACTACAATGGTAGAAAGCGTGCCTATCAGCCTATGTTAAGGTTGTAAACTTAAGCTGGACTGAACTTGAAAAAATAATGCTAGCAGATCTGCTATTTGGAATGCTTCAGCGTCGAGCGCTTTCGCAGTTACCATATCGCTAGAAATACGGAGATGCCGAGTAATTCCATGAGGCGCGGCTCATTTTCAGCACCAGTAAACTTAGCCGTTTCTTGATTTTTGATGTCCATAAGCAGTAACAACTAACACGAAGTAAGAGTACAGCATACGTACACAGAGCAAGATCAGGACCCAACAGTGTTTTGTTTAGGTGCGGTAGTGAGTACAATCAAATGCATTAAAGTGTTATGAAAGTGTTTTGTTTAGCAAAACGGGCGAGTGACGCGAGTCCGCGGTTCTAATCCAAGACAGACTGAGGGTCGCTGAGTGAGCTTTGCGTCGTCACAAATTTTCTTGATGATCCCCATGGAACTGGACGTTCTGATTCGAACTGAACCACTGACACCCGGTACAATAACAAGAGAATTAACATGAAGACACATCAACCATGCGGAGAGGAAATTTAAAAGGACCAACGCCTTCAACCACGAGTATTGCATCTGCATGTTAACTTTTTGTATGCGCTCCAAAATGTCTTTAATAATAAATTATTAATTTGATGATTATCCACTAAACACTAAAAAGTCGTCGGATCGGCAACTTGTCCCATATAGGCGATATGGCAGCTGAGGCGGTGATAAACCAGGAAGATGAATGGCCGGTTAGCAATAAACTCACCGTGGGTAGGCCAGCAAAGTTCCATGGTTTCCAAGATCACTCGGTTAGGCTTGACGGGCAGTGCATTGCCGACTCCGCGCTCGTCCACGACTAGAGGAAAAATAAACTATTTTCTTCGATTGACATTTCTAAATTATAGTTTCTTTTCTACAACCGAATCTTCCGGTTTCGGTAGGTTTCTTTGGGCACTAAATTCGCATACTGTTCTAAAGAGTGTTTTTAAGTTATTTTCGACGTCAGTCACGAGAACCTGCAGTATCCCGCTTCTTAACAGATTTCATACCGAAACTAACGTGCTGGGTAATATCTGCTTTGCGCAAACCAGGATGGTCGGTGCCGAAAATCAGGGGCGTCCGCAACCCCATTTCCCAGAGAATATCATGCAATTCCACGTCCCGCTCCACTTTAAATTTTGGTATCTGCACCGTCAGTTCGTTGACTTTGTAAAGGCGCAGTTGATGAATGGCCGCTGTCAGTCTTGCCGGTGTTAAAATATCAATCAGTTCACTCATGGTCTGCGGTTTCGTCTCGCCAAGCCATGTCTTCCGCGCGGCGCCCGGCATTATGAACATCGCACTCCAGTGATGGTCTTCAAATGGTACTTCTAGGAACTTGGCTCCGCCCATCCCCTCGGGAACCCAGCAGGGAACCTTGAGTATTCCGTGCATCGTGTCGACCTCCACGCGGCGACCCTCGCCTGTGACAAACTCCATCTTAAACGTTTTGTGTTCACGGAAGTAGGGACGATACCAGTTCGCGCGAAAGTGGAGCGTGCTGATGAATGTTGCATTTCGCGGTGGACCAGGGGGCAACTGTACGTCGCATACATGTCCCAGTGTGCGGTCGCGCAAAAACGCTTTTACACTCTGTAAATCGCCCGTCAGCTGTAGCGGCAAAATATCCGTGTTGATTTGTATTTGATTAAAGGCTGCTACAAAGCGTTGGTCCACAAGAACACCCTCCGGCAGCAAAAGCGAATTTGCCAAATACAGACGGTAGTTTTCTTCCTTTCCTATAATTTTTAAAACTTGATAATCAAGTAAGAAACTTCAGAAAGTTGAACTTCGCATATCGAATTTATTTTACAAAATGTACAGGAAACTCGAACCCCACGGCTTTTGGACTCTTGGCGAAATTAAAGCAGCTGTACAGTGCACACCCGGGAGTTTCATTATTGTTCACACGACTGTTTGGAGAAATCTAAATATTTCTGCCGTATTTCGAGATTTCTGAACAATTGGCATTTGTACTTTACATTTGAAGCATCTGGTCACCTGCACTGCTAAATTCAGCTATCTATTGTCCTACCGTATACATGATGTATATACGTATTAATGTATTTATGATCTATCTGCACACTTATCTCGTTTATCTGCACATATATCTCAAATTTTCGCTAACAGTTTAAAATCGGCCTGCCAGTCTGTTAGTCATGCAGATGTAAAACCTAGTTAAAACAGTAAAAGTAAGTAAATGTGCGGCTGGAACAGCAAAAACTAAGTACATATGTATTAAGGTTCAGCATTGAATAAATAAAAATCGTCAAATTATTCACTAATTCGCTTTTTCAGCGATGACAAACCGTATAACAGTCTAATTACAAATTGACGTCTCAGTCGCCGCCCCCCGCTTAAAGTAAGTGTGCGCAGTAGTAGGCTGCCATCCAGTAGTAGTGTGCTGCAGTAGTAGGTAGTATTATTAGGTATGTGCTGTGCAGTATGCATCTACATATACAATACAGCGCGATAAATGCAAATATTTTCGGTGCAGTTCGAAAATTTTGACGCTAAATTAAATTTATTTAGTAAATTTACTTTAATTTAGTAAGTAAATATCAACATGCCAGAACATTGGATCGGTGTAAGAACGATGTTCATGGTCATGTGCATTTACGTGCAAAATCTGAAGGAGATCGGTCCATAATGAGACTTTTGGTACACCTGAATGCATTTAAACTTTTTGGAATTTTGTTACCCTTATAGCTCCGCAACCGTATGTTGCACGCGAAAACGGATTTCACGCCTACGTATACCAAAGCTTTGTCTGCAAAATATCATAAAGCAATGCAAAAAAGTGTTTGTAAGTGCGCGATAGCGAAAGTTCCCGTGGATGTACACGCATTTGGTGCTATGTACCGGGTCAATTCCATTAACAACCGTCCAAACAAATCATTGGCGTAATGAAATTCCAGTTCATGAACCAAGTTCATTTCTTTTGAGCACTCCCGCTCAGTCATTTTGCAAGGTTGCAAACGGTTATTAATCAGGGCCTTCCGTTCCCGGGAGGTAGGGGGTGAGGAGGGGTTAAGATAGTGTGACCCCGGCTGCTCACCCCCACGCCACTAAAACAACCTCAAAGAGCGCTTGAATATTGTCCCACCCCGAATTAATGGGCAATGGATGTATTTAATTTATATAAAAATTTACTTTTCTTTGACAAAGTTTTTTATTTAAAAAGTCGTTCTTCATTTTCATTAGTATTTTTTAAATGCGCCGTAATGTTTGCAGGCTCGTTATTCGGTAAATTTGGGCAGGTTCGGTTAGTACTCGTACTATGTACTATAAACGCGTTCACCTTCAGGATCACCAGGATAGCAGTTCTCGTCTTCCTTTATCTTCAGGTCGGATAAGTCCGAACGCAGTCGTTCCATGAGTGGCAATGGATCCACGCCCAATATTTTCGCAACCTCTTGTTTTCCCTCGTCGTCGGCCACGGCGTGCAGCATGAGCAGAGCAATCTCAGCGCACAACGGGGAAAAAACCACATTCCGACTCATGCCACGGTGCCGCGCCAAATGCTTAGTATACAGATTATATGATAATCTCGCATAGTCTTTACGGTATGGACTGTAATGGTGGTCCCAGGGGAACTGGCGCTCGCGGTCGAGAGGGAATTCAGGAAGTTTGCCAACAGCAGAACATTATGATATGAAGAAACGCGCGCCCAGATTTAAACGAATTAGAATAAATCTTCTAAAACGCCGGATAACGAGCTGATCAAAATGGACAGCACTCGCTCTTAGACTAATTTAGTGTTCAAGTGGACACATGATAAACGTTTAGATAGGTAGTCATAATACTGCACAGGAAAACATCCGTTTGTCGCCACAGAATGCCATGAAACGATGCAGCTTCCGTACAGCGTCCTATATTATTGCTCATCGCTTATATCACAGTCAAACGCCATGTGCGCCAGCAGGACACCGCAGATAAGTGCGGCGCAAGAAGCGATCGATCGTCGTGAAGTTAGCTCGCTCTCTGATGACTGGAAAGCGGGCAGCAGAAAAATTAGCGATCGAACAGTAAGAGGCAGTAACCGGCAGACCATCAAACCTGGCTACTTGTAGCTGCTACCATGTTCACAGGCTTGTTTTCGCAGATTTATCACTTTAGCAGTAGACCAGACATTTATGACAAATATTGTACTAACAAAGTATGCATGTACAATACATTGCACATACAAAGAATGTATGTACAATACTTCGCCTTTCATTCGGCTCAACGGAAACGATGTTATGATTTTTTTTGTTAATTAATACTCTTGTATCACAGTACATTCCCCAGCCCGAATCGCTAATAAACTTACCGTTTTTTATATAAAATACATTCCATGTTAGTACAACAAGTACTGTACTACAGAGTAGCATGCAATTTACATAACAAATTCGCCTAAAATGAAATGACATTCACTGCTTTTCAAGAGAAAAAGGAACCGTTATGGGCACCCCTTAAAACCCCCGTTTATTACAGGCCCCCCTTTTTGCGCCCTGTTTACTATAAGCACCCATTTTTTTTAATATGGCAAATAATACTATGGGAACAGAATATTATTAATATATGAATACTAATTATCTGTGCCAGGATTTCGGCCCCTCTTCTTCCCGGCCAGTGATCTCAGCTTCTAAACATTCGATTTTGCTGATTTAAAGTGCAGCAGAATCTTTAAACTGCGGGAAGTGTTCCTGGGCTGTTGGCGTTTTGTCAACTTTATTCTGTTGCACCCACTGCCACCCAGTGCTCACTCAAACACTTGTTACCATGGATGCCATAGGTCTAACATCGGCTGCTTTGTAACCACGCGCATATTGGGGCACTGCAAAATGCGCTGCAAAATGACAGTGACAACAGTATACACCATGCTTCGGTTACTGTTCAGAGAACACGTCCCTAAGGTGCAAGCTGCATTAAGAATTTAGTTTCTACCAGTATTAAATACATCAACCCGTGTCCCCATTGGTATTTCTAATATAGATACAAGCGCAGAAACCTGACACCGTTAGGCCTATGGCATCCATGGTAACAAGTGTTTGAGTGACCACCGAAAGTTCTGTTAGCAGGCCAAATTGCATAAAATTAATGATTACTGTAATCGTGTACTGTTCCCAGTGCTCTCGCTGAATTTAATACAATGTTTTCGTTCTGACAAAGTTGCATTACGGTGCATGCGAAGTTCACATGAATTAAATTTACCACTAATCGTGAGCATATATTCGTCTGTGCTCAGCTTTATTTTATATATTCCAGCAATTACGAGTGCTATTATTGTTTCATACAGTTGCTATGAACTTACTATTTACGAGTAATAGTGCAACACAAACGTATTGCATATGTACCAGTAATTTGCGTTCAGTACCGGCAAATATCATAATTATTATTATGGCGGGTTCAAGCAGCCCTCCGGCACCGGGGCCATCGGAAGCCATAACCCTTGACCACGGAGAGTACGAAAAGGGTGATGGCGGTCGGACATTCACTCATAGCCTAGATTGTGTCATAGCCTCATTTACTCGAAACCAGTGCCCGGCTCGAATTCCAAGGAACCTGTGCTGGCCACTTGCGGCATGTACGACGCCATAGAACGAAATTAAATTCGGCGCACGACTTTTCGCCGCGGGACATTTTGAAATTAGAACACGTCGGTTTGGGACAATTTATACTGTACATTGAGACATTTTAACTATGAGACATTTTGACTGAAGACGTCTGGACATTTCGCCGCACAAGAATTCGGCGCCCTTAATTTTCGCGGCTGTTCCGGGGTTTTTGAGTTTATCTTACGTCTTCTTAGGTTTCTTAGGCTTCTTGGGTTTTTCTTAGGTTAGTCTAAGGATCTTCGCAGGTTATTTTAAGGATATTGTTATGTTTCTTAGGTTTTCTTGGCTGCTAATTTGTCTGCTAAAACGACTGCGTCGAAACTGGCTCCTGGCGCAATGTCTCGGTGTCGAAACTGTCTGGCGACGAAATGCCACGCGGCGTGGTATCGCGTTGCCCCAATGTCCCGCGACGAAACGTTGCGCGGCAAGATGACCTTGCGGCGAAATGTCTCCGACCAAAAGTCCTGCGACGAGTTGTCCTCGGCGAAATGTCGCGCTGCCAAGTGAAGATTGCCGTGTTTAGAGTTTTCGAACGAGGTGGTTTTCTGGAATTATTATTTTTTGCAGTCCAACTGAACTCACATAATTTATGTTGGCAAATTTTCCCAAGTTTTTAGTATGCTCTGGACGCATTACAATGATGCAGACGTGCAGAAATGGAATTCCGTACTATATTGTAACACTGTAATGAAGCCCCAGTGGAAACCGATGTTTTGCAGTTTTCTGTTGGTTGTTGGTTGTCAGGTTAAGCCATTCTTGGCAATACGATCGCAGTATCTCCACACTAGTGAGTAGTGACGAAAAGACGAACGCATATATTGGCAACCGCCTAGTGGCTTCAGATAGCTTCCGGCACTGGTATTTTCTTGAATTTTAACATGCGTGTGGCATGGTGCTGCAGGAGCCTGCTTGCGCACGAGCTTCAAGGTTTTCGGCTAACTTAGTTATGAAGTTTTGGTTTTTCTCGAAAATGCCCCATCAGTTCACCACTTCGTCGCGTTGACTGCGAGCGGAGTAATAGATAATTGGCTCATTTTTGTTACTTATTTTATTTCCTCAGAAGTACTGAAAGAACCACGATCATTCATGGCTGAGGGATATCTTCGGGAACTACGGGATATGCAGGCCACGGGGACCCTGTGTGACGTTGTGGTGAAAGGCGCGGAAGATTCCTCAGCTGGTATTCCCTGCCACCGGAACATCCTCAGTGTCTGCAGCAAATATTTCCGCGCAGTGTTCACCAATGGTTTTCACCAGCCCACTCTCCGACTGAAGAACATCTCCACGAGCACATTGATAGAATAAGTTGCAAACTCATAGTACGGCGATCGGAGTTCATGATGCTGTGCAGTCAGTAGACAGAGGGACTAGGTGCTTACAAAGCTTTTAACTACCTACGTAAAACTAGTTGCATAACCTCATTTATCTGCATGCAGTCTGGTTAATTATGCCTACACACTGGAAATCAAGATTGACGTCAACAATGCTCGATCGATCCTAACGGCAGCGCTCTTTCTGGAAATTCCTGCCGTCGTCACTCTGTGTTGGGATGTTGTGGAGGAGCACATGGATATCACCAGTTGCTTGATGGTTCACCGTTTCGTCGATCGACATACCAAAGCGCAACTGGCGGCACGAGCAAAAGCCATGGTTCTTTGCAGTTTCCTCCGAATCTCACGAAGCGCTGAATTTTTACTGGTTGATGCAGATAAGGTACCCAGCGCTCCGCAGGTTTCGTAAAAGCAACACGGGAAGCACTGTTTTGTATGTACGCCGTTCTATTTGTAGTTGGTCGAACTAATTGCATCAGATGATTTGCGCGTGGGCAAAGAGGACAACGTGCTGGAAGCGGTAGTGCGCTGGCTGGAGCACGACCCAGCCGGACGAAAGGCGCTGGTTTCCGATGTGCTGCAGTTTGTGCGGTTTGTCTTTCTTAGTTCTGCAGCAAAGAAGTATTTTCTGTTCCTCTTCAATGGTTTTATCACTACACCAGCTGACCCTTCATCAGTGCCGTTCGGAATTGCTCAAACTGTACCCAACTGTCTAGCCAAGACCATCACATCTGAAAGTCGTCCCCGGGAATCATACGGTAAACTTTCGGATAATTTTTACAGCGTTTTTTTGGTTCATAACGGACAACGGACCAGGCTACAAAATTGAACGAATACTGTAATTGTACAGGTAAAAAGAAACTGCAGCACTGTCCGTGCCTAAAATGATGGTCACTGCACAGTCTACAGATCCACTACAGTTAGGCGTTGGCCGTAGTTTTTGTATTTTTCGCTGTTTCAGTTTATTCTTATTGTGTAGCCTGGCTTGAAAGTCTGACACTGATGGTACATAAGCGCCGTTTTTGTGCTGCAGATTTGGCGAAGGCGATTGTGTGCGTTGGTGAATTGAAGAGTGGAGAAAAGAAGACTCACATGTACATTTTCATACCGTCGACATCACTTGTAATGCCTCTAACAAATCTACCAGAAAATATCGATGCTGCTGCTTTGGCGATGCTACCCAATGGCTTAATATTGGTATGCGGAGGACGTTCGAAGCCCCTGTCAGAGTGCCGAGTCTGGCAGTATGATGCCACTGGCTTTGCATGGACGGATCTCGAACCCATGGGGCACAAGCGCTATGGAGCGGGCGTCGTGGCTCTTAATGGTCGAATTTATGCTATGGGCGATGTTGATCTACGAGCTGGGACCAGGGGTCGTTCCGTAACTTTGTCCTCCATGGAGGTGTACGATCCAGAGGGTGGCAAATGGGAGTTTGTGGCTTCTCTCCCGATCACGCTAGTCGATTTCGCCGTCTTGGCGTGTGCTAATCGGCTGTACGTGTTTGGAGGCGAAAGTGCAAATCGGGAAGAGGTCAACAGGGTCTACTGCTACGACCCTGTAGGGGATGTATGGAGCAGAATGGCCGACATGTCCACGGAGCGGCGTTGTTGTACGGCTTGCGTGGGTACCAGTGGGCAGATTTATGTGATCGGTAGGGAATAGCGTACGCACAAATTCCCACAATGTAGCACTAGTAATTGGAATGCGGCTAATCAGTTAAGTACTTACCATGGTTAGTGCAATGTACGATAAGTCATTCGTTTTAACGGAACTTCAAGCGCTTAACTGAGCACCGGATGTGTTCCCCGTTCTGCTGATCCACATTTTTGAGCCGTGGGCCGACCACATAAATTTTCTCGTATTTCCCTCTTGCATTTTACATACATGGGATGCCATCTGTAGGTGGGTCGGCGGATGCGGACGAAGCTGGACACTGTGGATATCTCGTTGAGGCCTATGACACAGCGACTAATCAGTGGTGTAAAAAGAGTGCGTAAATACTCTGAACATTTTGTGTCGAATAATTAGTATTTTCCATTTTTGTACATCTCGTTGCAGAAAATATGCTCGTTAGTCGTCATTCAGCTGTCAGTGCATGTGTCGGCGGAGCGATCTATGTTGTTGGTGGGGTGGATGAACGTGCAGACTATGTCGAGAATACGTCGATTGAGTGCTATGACGAAGACACCGACACATGGACTCTCCACAGCTGCCAGATGCCGGAAGAGAGAGTACTTACGGGATGTGCTGTAATGCCACTGAACACCGGTAAATTACTGGAAATAACTGTAGTCGAAACTGGTAGCGGCGGTATTTCTGGTTCGTGGTTCGATAATACGGATTAAAAAGTGCTTGTCAGGATCAGTGTTCTCCTTATAATTATGAAATCAGTGTAGTGGTGGTTACCGGTTACGAGGATAATCCAGACCGGGGATCATAACGATAGTTTAATCGCGGATGCTCGGCGCATATTACTGTGTAAGTTATGCTTTGGAGAACGAGTCAAGAAGGACAAAGTTCTTGAAAAATAACGGTAGATGAATATAATAATATTATTAATGTCGTCATGCGATGGACTGTGAAATGATGTCCTACCTGCAGTTGTCAAAATACGCATTATTTCGCCATGATAATGGATTCTTCGTTTTTAGGAACGGTTCTGGCAAATGGGAATGTGGCACAGTGTGGATAATATCTACAAGGTAGACATTCTCTTCCACAAAAGGTAGCAGCTTACGTTTTAGTAAGGGATCCTGGGCACTCTTTACTTCCTGTTCCAGACTTACTGCTGGGCAGAGCTTCTCCTTGGAAGTGTGTGCAATGTACCATTAGGTTTCTCTGGACATAGACTGTGGATTCCGTTTTGTTAATAATTTATGTTGACAATTTTACAAAAATGGTTTTTTATTTACCTTTTTTTTAGTCTACAGTTACATCAAGCACAGGCATAAGGAATGGGTTTATGCAGTGGTAACACTAACTATTGTGGTGTTTTTTCATTGTTTAATTAAATCGTTTTCATAAGTAGCCACCGCGCAGGCATTTTTGATTTTGTAGTGGGTACTGATGAATAAAATTTACCTATGGTATATGCTAATTTTTATGGCAGACTGTCTTACACCATTAACAATTTGTAGTGATAAGCACAGTAGTTATTTGGAAAAAATATATTATTTATTAAATCTATATAATAAATTTTTATATTTTGCGATACTGTCTGTGCAGTACTGCAGTGTACATGCATCCACACTTAGCAGAACGCTCCTCTGCAAGGATTCGACACGGCGCAAGGGAAAGCGCTCCGTTCTGAACTGCTGACTATTGTAGTCGCCTGGACGAAAACAAATGGTCAAAAAGTAGAATTTTTTCACTTTTGGAACGTTCAAAGGCGATTTTAAGGCATCAAAACTCGTCAGTTTTATAAAAAAAACTGTTTCCATGATCGTGCTTTTCCTGAACAACGATCCTTTGGCTGGAAAGACACGTTTTTCAAGCAAAACCTGCAGAAAAAATATTTTACGCCGAAAAATATACTTATACTTTCCTGCGCAATATATTGTCGGATAAATCGGCTTGCGTTAAAAGCCCGTTTAAGCCGGCTCAGCAATTTAGCCAGCCGTTGCTATCTCTAGCGTAAAATGCTACTGACAAATTTTTTCAGAGGATACCAACATAATTCACAGTGAAAATTGTACAGGGAATTCAGGCTACTGTAAGTGCACAACGCGTGACAATGTTGTGGTAAGATGCACATGATTATTGCAAGTAATATGCATAAAAGACAAATTCTCCGATCATCGATGACACCGAAAGCCAATAACAAGTGTACCATAAATTGCAAGCATTATTAGGAATATTTTTTGTATGTTAAATACCTATTATCGTTCGAAGTGCATCCACGTCCACGTTTCCAATTAACGCCAGTACATTCCATCCTCCACAGCGATAGCGAGATGACACTCGCTGTGCATGAGTTCTTATTACTTGTCCAGTTGTAATTGCATCCGGCCGAACGCTGGCCGAGTCATTCGCTTTCTAAGGCCGATCTTAACTGCATCGACAACGATCATGCGGACTTTCAGGCTTCTCGTCATTTCCGGCACACGCCGCTGGTTTTTAACACCAGTTTACAGTTTACACAGCTCGCGATAATCAGTCTTGTGCTTGTGCTAGCCAATGTTGGTTGCGGGTGTACTTGTTTCACATTTTAATAAAATTAATCATTTTTTGAACTGGTTGACATAACCTGTTAAAGGCTACTACAGAGTACACAGTTAACATAATGTTGACAACCAAGTAACATTTCTGTATTTAATCTTGTTGGCTGCTTTGCCGGGGGTGTACCAGCAGCTCACCGATGAAGAATATCCTAGGTAAGTTAGACATACAAAACTACACAATTTACTGCCTACCGGTAAACAAATTTTTTTTATTTATCAATTATAGAACCCCTTTCTCATCCGTACTTTATACTATAAGCGTATTATCATCGCTTGATTGCGCATTAAGCGATAATTTGTCATAAACTTCCATATGCTGGATTTATTACAGCGAACCAGAGCTGGAGAGGCTTGAAACGTCCAGTCAAAAGCCGGCCTCCCCGGCATCTCGCTTCCTGGGCGCCGGCTACGATCTGCATTATGCCCATCCTTTCTCGTTAAACCTGGATTCGGGTATCACCCGAAACAGCATCACCTCGACAAAGTTCCTGAAGCTGAAGTACGTCAGTTACGCCCACTGTCCATTCCACGCCAAATGCCAGCTATTCGCGGGGACCGCCATACCCAAGCGGATTGCTGTGGCCATGCGCAGCTTCGCCGATTACCAGAAACACATTAAAACTTCACTTCAATTATCGTCTAGAACCACGGTAAGAAATCTGGCGTATGAATAACCTAAGACAACGAAAAAACACTTCGCAATGGCGACCGAATGCTTCTCTCTTCAAAAGCAATTTATGTAGAAGTTTGTAGGGAATCGTGACCAACAGCATCGGTATTTCGGCTCCGGAATTGGATAAAACGCGAGCTTATCTAAATGACGGGTTATTCAACGTGGATTACATCAGCATGGAGATTCTAGAAGAAGACCAGTTGGATCATAACTGGATTCAGCATGTTACTCTTCAAGACGACTTCTCTGACAGAGTATGCCGGCTTCCTGAACAGTACGATGCCGATGAATACGTGGCTTTTCTCAAACGCTACGGCACGCACATGATAGAGAAACTGCAACTGGTGAAGCTGTCGCGAACCCGAGTGTTCGTGGATCCAGAAGCGTTATTCCAATACTTGGTCCGCACCGGCACAACCTTCACTAGCGACAGCGCCACTGGGCGGACGAAATACAAATCCGTCTTGTTACGGAGAGAACGCTTTTTCGGATCGCCGACGGTATAAGGAAGAACCCGCGTTCGGACAGCGTTCTCAACGAGACTGCTGCGCACAACGTTGCAGTGCCAATCCGTTTGCTGGAAATCCCGCATTTCCTTATTTTGGTCGATCTGAATCGGTCTCTGGTGGACAACTGCTTGTGACTAGGGTATATCAGCACTTCTGCTGTCTTAAGGTTACCCCTATTTTGGCTTCTACCGTTCGCGAATGTGGAGATCCTGCGATATCGACTCAAAACTCAGTCTTGACCATTCTAAAGTGTTTCTTAGTTAAAATCATGAAAAATTCAACCCCTGTAACCAGTGTCATAGGTTCAATAGTAAACTTTAAAATTCAACATTTGGTAATTCCGCTTAAAAATTAACTAGTCTGAGTAGATTGAACTGAGATTTTTTGTTACCGGCCTATAAAATATAAAACGCGATTCTCCAGCACCCTGCGAGAGCTTTTTTGAAAAAAGTCCATTTTAAAGTTGCAACTTGCAAAAAACACTTCGTCGGTTGCTTGATTCGACAATAACTCGAGCAAAATCAACTTTTTTTAAAATCGCTCTCGCAATTAGACTTTTACAATATCTGTACATCCACTGTCAAAATTTCAAAATTCTACTCTATTCCGTTAGTGACTAGTTAATTTTCAAAGCCTATTAACCGCATTTTTAGCTGTAGGATTCGAAAGTTCATGCAGGGATAAATCTCATTTGAAGATGTTGGCAGTCTCAGTTCACCACACATACCACGCAGGAATAGCTCGAATTAAGACCAACTAGACAGCCGATTGTGCGCTGCCCAGCTACACTCATGTGTGATCAAAGTCTTTTGTCTTCAGAGTTTGCATCCATTTTTGCTACGGTTTTATGATCCAGTAAAACAAAAGATACCAATCGCAAACAGGTGCTCCCCATTCATTTGACTGCATGTCCAAATCTAATCGCTTGCATATACGCAGGCATGCAAAAATGGTAAGGTCATTAATTACAGTACTGGCTCCTCTGGGTCGAATACTTTAAAAATTCATATCTCGCCTCCCAGTTACTGTATTTCTATACACTTTTCCCCACCAGATAGAGCACACTTCAGTTGGTGGGATTGCAAGTTTTGAGAAACCGGCCTTTTTGAGAAAAGCCAAAATAGGGGTAACCTTAATTTTCATGTGGAATTATTTGCAGCGATCTGTTTGAGGGAATGTCTTGAGCCAAGCAAACCGCCTAGTTGAGAATCGTTCGCGACAATCTGTACCGCGCGATGGAGGAGTATAGCAATGAAACCCAAACCGAACAGCCGATCGTCGCACCGCAGATAGTTCCTTGGCCGACGGAGATCCGCAGTCAGATTCGGGCCATTCAACGCGGCATTTTTTGGCGGGTCAACGGCATTCCTGCGTTAGCGACGCCTACATTAACGTCTTGGGTCACGGGTACGATCTGCTGCGCGCGGATCCGCTGGGGACGGAATTCCACGCCGGGATCCACCGAGGCGCACCGATTCTCCGGTTTAAAGAATGTCCTGTCACTGGGATTTGCAATGACACGGTGCACTGTACGCCGCTGCCGGCAACCGGGCCCACACCAGAGAAACATGGTTTTCATACAGTCGAAGAGTATCAGGATGTGATCCTTAGCGCGTTGGATATTGACGGTCTTGACGTAAGTCTTAGATTAAAAATAATGAAAGTCATCTGACCAACATACCGGCTGAGCATTTGGTCAAATCGAAAAGCCGTTTTTCTGTCTTTATTAAGAATAGTAAAATGCCGATTTAACTCGGTTATGATTCATTTGATCATATAATTATTACATGGAGGCTCCGTTGCAGCCGGTAATTCGTGATAACCCCAATCGTCTCTCAACAGCAGTGGCGGTTTGTTTTACTCTGGGGAGAATGGCCGTTGGATCTGGATTTACACGTCTGGGGACCGATCGAAAATAGCCGCAACCGGATGCCCGTATATTGGCGCTCCAAGCTCAGTCTGGATAATCACACGGACTTGGATGTGGACGATATGAGTAGTTACGGACCGGAGACAGTAACTGTGCGGAAACAGTTGCCGGGACTGTATTATGCCAGTGTTCACGATTACACCAACCGGGAAGCGTGGAATTCCATGGCGCTAGGCGAATCGGGGGCGGAGCTGCAAGTTTACCCGGGCTGTGAGCGGATGGGACAGTACATTGTGCCGCGCGGTCGCGGGACGACGTGGAGCGTGCTGCAGCTCGATGGGACGGAGATACAGGTTCTTAATCAGATGAGCCATAACGGGTTGACCAATGGCGTCGATAGCAGCTGATCCCGGTGGTGGTGTTTTGTGTCGGTTAACAGAAGTGAAGTTTTAACGTTTAACTTGTTTTGTTGCCGCAGTATGTAACAGCCTGTTTAAATAGGTACTTAATTCGCAGAGACTGTTGTGTGCAGATCACAATATTGAGCGGTGGCCTTTCGAAATTCATATGTTGTTTTGTAGGTTATTTACGTCGAGTTGGGTTTTTCATGAATTTTATTGTTTTCTCATCCACATATACTAATTTTGCAAATTTCTGAAATTTGTAAACGTGGAAGGAAGAGCGGTTCTTTTAAACTCCACCCCCAAATAAAGTCCGCGGTCCAATTCCTGTTCTTCCTTTGGTTTTATTATGGGATTGTTTTCAAATTCATGCTTCCAAATTCATGAGCAGAGTTTTTACTAACAGAGCTGTTCATTTTTGGTATTTTTGTTTTGTTGGAAAATTTTAACGCCAGGTGACCAATATAAGAAAACATATACTTGAAGTGACCGGAATATAAGGAAAACCAAGTACATAGATTACAGAAGGTGACAAGTAGCTCGCAAACTTGCATTCTGTACAAACAGCACAGCTGCTTTCATCAGTCACGGGACACTCTGCGATAACCTTTAAAACTTCATGACATTTGCGAGAAAAACTACTTCTGCCGCTGACCGCTTAGACGTGCGAAATTGACGGTTAATTTAGGTGTATAAATTGCCTCCGTTTGTAACAGTTCCGCTTTCAGTTTCTTATTCAAACGGAAAGTTTGTACGAGACACAGCATCCAGTGTAGATCATCACAGCCGTCAAACCCATCCATAACGTCATAAAGCGAGCAATCTTCGCTTCCGGTGTTTTTGCGCGTGGACACGACAGTCCGTCCGCCAAATCTTTCCAGGCAGAACCGCTGCACAGAAGGACCAGGCAGAGTGCCAGCATGATGCAGTGCAGCCCCGTCGTTACCCACAGCGGCACGTAAGCCACATCCAGACACACGATGACCTCGGATATTGGTTCGCTGTTCGCGCCGGGACGGCATTGTTGCACACCTCTCAATAACCGTACGCTCAGTACAGACATGCAGGCCCCCACGACGAGAAAAACTCCAGCAAAGGCCAGGAAAAACCACGCCATAACCGGCGACATACCGTTTTCCTCGGACAGCTGTGAGATGATGCCGAGTAAGCGCTTATTGCTCGAGGTTTTAAAAGAAATTACCCGGTACGTGGTACCAAAGTCCTGTATGCACAGACACTAAAACATTTGCTTCCGCGAACTTCCAATCAACGTCTCGCATTTCCTTACAGCATTATGTACCCAGATGGCTTGCTCAAATTTGTTTGAGATTCGTTGGCGCGGGCCAGTTCCGGTTGGGGAGTTATGGCGGTAAGAAATTTCCCAAAAGCTTAAGATATATTTAGGTGTACCAAAAGTCTAATTATGGCCCGATCTTCTTTAAATATTGCACGTAAATGCACGTAAGTACATGTATAAAGATCGTTTTTACACCGAACCAGAGCTGCATCATTTTTTCCATATATTAAAAAATTTTATTATTCATCCTTAAAATTCAAGGAAACAATGCTAGAACCGTGGTTCCGTGTAACAGCGATCTTTCAGCATATGCGCGTTTACCTGCCAAATTTAAAGGGAATTGGTCCGTAATGAGACTCTTGGTACACCTGCATACACGCAAACTTTTGCGAATTTTCTTGCAGCCATAGGTCCCGAACAGATGATGCGCTCATAAACGGTTTTCACGCTTGTGTAAGTTGTGTATACAAATGACCTGGCTACAGAATGTCACAAGTCATTATAAAGAGTGTGTTTGGCAGTGCGCGAAAGTGCAAGTTTTCGTGCATGTACACGGCTTTGGTACCATATGTACCGGGACGATTCATTTAACCCAACTAGAGTGTACATGGCAAAACAACTTTGCTGTACTTGCATAATGCTTACCATACTCTGTCCGTGAAGACAGACAGCCAGGCTGTAGGCCACCCATCCGAATGGACCGCATTCCAGAAATAATCGGAGAGCGGACAGCAAAACAATCGCCCACATGTACTGATAAATCGGTCGAATATCACGACAAATGACATGGTCGAGCTGCGGATCGCCATCGCAATCATCCGCTATAATAATGAAGAAACAGGTAGTCATTCATTTCAAAAGTTCCAAACGGTTATGCAGGAAACGGCTTTTGGAAATTGTCTTACATTTCACAGCTGGCACGTCCATTTGCTAGCTTTCTCTGGCCAAGGAAAGGTTCAATAACCAGTCGCGCTCTACACTTTCCGAGAGGGGCATTACTAGTAAGATAAGACAAATATAAGCATAATAAGATAAGACAAATAAATGAGTAAAATATTCCTACGCGCTAATAATTTTGTCATTTCGAAGTACAGAATGCCAGATTGCAGTAAAAGGCAATTTGCAAAACATCTCGGTAGTAGAATTTGTGAATCTGGCTACAAACAAATCTCCGCATACAGCCGCATACGTCGATCCCATGTGGAAAATCTATGAACGTTTGCCATGGACCATGGATACAATCGATAAATGACACCGCAGCATGCCTAATGCTTCCTAACCGGCTGATGAAAAATCAATAATTTCAGTTTCACTGTGATGTTTACGGTCGTATTATAAGCTGGTCATCCTGAACAGTGCGGCCAGTGCCACAATTTATCTGTACAGTAAAATCAGGAGCAGAATTAAACGGACCACTGCGTTTTGAATGATTTTTTTAAAATTTTAAAATGAATTTTAAAATTTTTGAAATTCATTTTAAAATTTGAAAAACATGCTAGAACAGTGGATCGGTGTGAAAACATTCTTCGTGGTTATGCGCATTTACGTGCAAAATTTAAAAGAGATCGGTCCATAATGAGACTTTTGGTACACCTGAACGCATTTAACCTTTTTGGAATTTTCTAACAGCCATAACTTCCGAACCGGATGTTGCGCGCACAAACGGTTTTCACGGCAGTGTATACAAATCTTCTGGCTCTAAAACGTCATAAACCAAAACAAAAATGTGTTTGGGAGTGCGCGAAAGCGAAAGTTTTCGCGCATATACACGAATTTGGTACCATGTACCGGCCCACTTCCCTTAAATGCATCCAGAAGGTAGAAAAAAGGTGTAAGGCTTTATTCAGTAGCGCTCTCAAACCAACCAAAGTCAGAATAACCTCAGTTCCCCGGGGAAGTAAAATATATCAGTAATGTTTCGTTTTCGAACTCTGCATTTTTACGATACAACGTCACCGGTTGCTGGCCTTTCGGCAGCAGCCTATTTTGTACTGCCCAGATTGTGTAACCGTTACGCTGCCGATTTGAAAGCGTGGACGCAGGTCGATAAAACTGCAAGACATAAAGGTTGTATGTAGCATCCACACGTCCTTTTCTATAAGGTTTAAGGTTTAATGGTTAACGTCCGCACACATTCAGGGCAAGAACCCAATTCGAGGCAGCAGACACTTACGACAACCACAGTTCTCCAGAATAGATAGTATTTCAGATCAAGCTTTAAACAAGAATACAGTAGCGTATTTAAACACCACAACTCAGTACGCCCACTCCCTTACAAACACATTTGTTGGCCAAATCTCAGGTTCCAGAATTTTTTTCGCCGTGTCTTTAAACGTACCAATGCGGGCAAACGTGGAAGATCGTCTATCTTCACGAGCAGGAACGTATACACTCACAGATCTTGTGGGAATTCCTACATCTTCCAGCTGTTTGGCAATGAACGCATTGTAGCGTGTAGTGCTCTTTGGTGTCTAGCTATGATCATTTTCTTACCAGGAAAATTTTATTTTAACAAAAAATATTCCTTCCTCTTTTTGAGCCAAAAAATTCCCTTCCTCCTTTTGACCACACAAAATTTCCTTCCTCTGAAATTTCCTTCCTCCTTTTGACATTGGCCTTCTTGGGGCCATTCTTAGCTGCAAGCGCATTAAAAAAGGCTACAACGATTATATGCGGCACAGTTATATGTCGTCAGTCCGAAGCTAAATTGCACATCCGAATTCGCGCGCTGCACATCTGCACGTGCGCAATATATTAAAACTGCGAATAGAGCGCCATGGCCCATGCTAACTGGTACCGTAAGCAGTGCTGCAAAGGATTCTAACGAAAATCCCATTTTTTATCCCGTGGGCAGATCAAGCTCGGATTTGAACTTAACCGAGATATTATGATAATGATAGAAACTCAGTCAAAAAAAAAGATTGAAAGCGATTGGTCTTTAGGGTCATCTGCATCCTGATGACAGAGAGACAGACACACAAACAACGAGCTTCGGACTGGCCTGGGGTAGAAGTATAGAATGCCTCGCTTCGCTCAGCAATAAATTTTAAAAACTTCGAAATTCATTTTAAAATCGGGAAAAAAATGCTATACAAACTACAAAGTACATCTGATTATGGTCCACTTTCAACTTTTTTGTCATGTGTCTTTTACAGCAGTTTCGAGAAATTCGCGTAATTACCAGACTTTTGGTACGCGACAGCCGACAATGTATTTAAACTTTTCGCCCATTTTAGGTAGCCATATCCTGGTAACTGGATGCTGCGCGCGCATTCGGTTTTCACTTTTCAGAACAATGCATACAAATCATTTAGAATGACCATTGCCGCTGTACAATAGTGCAGACAGACAGAGTCATTCTTTACCGATTCAAGACTAACTCTGTCGGTGTGCACTATTGTAGAGCGGCAATGGAATGACATAAAGTTGTAATTTGTACATACGAGTAAATACACTATGCAGTACCTACAGTTTTAGTGGGTGGCGCATTCCTTAATCTTGCTCTCTGTGTTGTGTTGCTTTAGTGGCAAGCTGTCCAGAGCGACTATGTACAATGCTGAGTTACTGACATCAGGTGTGAGACACTACTGAGACAGGAGTCGTAGCGCATTCTGGCGATTGCATCAGCCCGGTATTGCAGCGATCAGGCACCCGGCTAACCATATGCGTTGCCGCGCTCGCTTCTCTACTAGTTCTCTTTCGACAAAGATACACAGATACTATTGCTTGTAGTTTGTGAGCAAATGCGGATCTACGTCCGATTCATGTGCGTATGGAGAATTGCGGACCCAGAATTCAGTTTTTAATTCACATCGCTTTCGAAATCTTAATAAGGCAGTTCTTTTCGAAGCTGCAACTATTAAATTCCTTCCTGATTCTGCTGTCCACTTGTTTAAACCTTTAGCGCCTGCCAACATCACTATTAGGCTATCAGCTATTGCTGCGATGCTGGCGCAGGCTAATTATTGACGATCTACGAACCAACCACTTCCCAACGACACACCAGCGCTATGAGACATGTTTAAAGTTTAAATGATGGCCAGTTTGATCAGCAATCTACCCCGAGTCGGCGCACCCTGGAGCGCGGTCCGGGCAATCCTGAACACGAGACCGCGTAGTTTCGCTTGCTGTCCCGTTGTGTGTAAATGGAAGGGGTCTGTCCGCGAGCATGAAGACAAGGTTCGGTTAAAATGGCATCACTTTTAATAGGTTGAACTATTTTCCAGTGAACTTTATTTTAATCCGAAGAATAACGCGTAAATTGGTAAATACCTGAAATGCGTATAATAGTATGCTGCCCAAACTGAAAACCAAGATGGCAGAATGTGCACTCGTAACCTTGCTTCGATAGGGCTGGTATCTTCGTGGGAAACTCGAACAGCTGAGTCATCACTTTTTGTATAAGGACAACATCATCAATCGAGCGAAAAATGAATTTGAAAAGACAATTGAGCCCTTTAAGGCATCTTTCTCCACTATTATCCCGAAGGACAATCTAGAAGGCATCGATGCCATTGAAGCGCTGGTCTGGTCTGAGGCTTATCTTTCCACCCAAAATTATTTCTACGCCTGGATGTATCGCCTCGATTTGATGGATCTCATTTATGGACGGTACTGTCGTTCTTGACTGTTAGCTTCAGTGGCTAATCTAGATTCTTGACTTTTTTCTACCGGGGGGCCGGGGGGCAGCGAACCCTAAAGAATTATAATATTTTCAAAATATAATAAATATTCCATACTTTTTATTTCCCTCCTTTATAAGTAGTGAGCATTGGGTGGATGTTATTTGCGTAGGTTTTTTTTATATCGATGGTCGTTTTGTTATCCTTTGTGCGAAGCTGGCAATAGAAAATCTGAACATTACGATTACGAAACCCAATACGAACACGGATTGAAATCGTATCCGCAAGCGCATCCGAGATCTGACTATAGAGCGCGTGCGATGACAATCTGCCGTTCCTGGCAAAATTCAAAACGCGCCATTAATTTGATTTACGCCCATTTTTTTACTGGAATATTCAATATTTTAAAGTTGGGCAGTTTGGCGCTGTAAAGGTACTGTGCGACTGCAAAAAGCAGTATGAATACGAGTATACATGGAAAAACATAAATTAAAAAAAATAGTATTCGTACCCGTTAGATAACAGGAGGACGGCAAGACGACACAATAGATTTGGAATTTCAGACGTGCTCGGCATCTCCCTAAACCTGGGAAAATGAAAATTCCAAAAAGTCGGTATTTTGGAGTTTTCAGAAGATGTCGGGATCAGCCAGAATGCTCACTGGTCAGCCTGGCAAATTTCTGAGCCGAGCTAAAACTCTGACCAATCATAGCTTTCGTTATATGACGTCCGTTTTCATTTTCGGAAGCACGATCATTTTCGACTTCCGGTTGCATTTTGCTTTGGAGCAATCGCACTAGGTACTAGGAGATCTGACCGAGATCATTCGGACCGAACTAGAAGTCGACACGGTTCGGTACGGATGATTTCGACCATTTACACATGGTTACGCTAATTTCGGCCACCACTCTCATTCGACCACACATCACATTTAGGCTGCAGTGTTGATTATTCATAATTAAAAATTTGCAAACTTGCAGTCTAGTAAGACATAGTACCTGTACATGAATGCGTCGATACACTTTGTGAACCTTTGTTTATTTATACAAAATTTCATCAATATTTACTTTTATTAGGAAATAAGCCAACAGAAAAAACCGACGTAAAATGTGTGTGACATGTGTTAAACTGGGTCATGTGTCTACTTGATCACAGAAAACTTGATACTCATAAAACAAACTCACTATTTTATGGAACAGAATACATTGACCTATGGTTTGAACCCTACGGTTTGAATGTTCATTTCACTTACAGCTTCAGCCTTTCAGAATTCAAAAAATTGAAGTCACAAAATAAAACGAAAACATTAACTTAAAAATCGAAAGATGCTAAAAAACCGAAGGAATTGAGAAAAATAAATATTTTGCTAAAAAAAATAAAAAGTCGGGGAGCCTAAATCAATTTTATTCAAACAGCTTCAATAAACAGCAAACACGAAGTACTTACTGTAACAGTTTGTAACAAAAAACACTTCGTGGCATTTCCTCGCGGAAATTGTTCCGTCGGTCGTGGTATATATCGATAATACATGAGACTTTCTATAGTCTATATACGGCTCGTTTCTGAACAGTGTACGGGAGTCAGTAACCAAATTGTGACACGCACCTGTTTGCAACAATTTTGGAGGGTAGTTAAGTACTATACAATGTACGACGAGAGCATACTATTTACAAAGCTGTCCATTCTTATTTCTTGAATTTATTGCCGATTTTGATTGCCATACTGCTGGGCCGCTGGCAAAATTTTGCCAGCTGTCTAGCAGCCACGTAGCTGAAGTACGCGTGCGGTGGCCCATGGAGCACGCTGCTGGAATGAAAACCTTCAAAAATTCGTAATTTTGTTAATTTTAGTGTTAAATTCTTTTGTATAAGCTTAAAAAATACAAAATAACGCATACCGTTAAGCCAAACAACTGCTTCTTCGTTTTTATTTTCGGGTTATTCACTGTGAGCTTCTGCTGTTAACATAAGTACCTGTCTATGGAAGACTCATTCGAGATTTCTCATAGACGGCTATGCTCTGAGTGCCAAACCTTGAGACCAAACCAGAAAATCAGTTGTTCTTCCTAATATTATATATTATTTTATAATTTTTAAGCGCATACAAAAAAATTCAGCGCGGAAGAAAAACAAAATTACAAATTTTTGAAGATTTTCATTCCAGCAGCGTGCTGCTGGAATAAGAATGTCCTCATTCTAGAACCCATTTCCTGCCTGAAATAGTGAAATTAGCCCCTTAGGTGTGGATTGAACCAAAATTAAATAAATTTGATATTTTGAAAAAACCCGTTAACAGCTGCACTGTAACTGATGCAACCGCAAACAGGTAACGGTTTAATGCAGTTTCTCACAGCTGGTTTTTTCTTTCGAACTTGCCGGATAACTCCTACTCTTGTGGCTCGATCAGTCATTGCTTAAAACAAACTAACTTCAAAAATTTAGAACATGCTGCTTTCTGTGATAACTTTTGTCGCTGCCAAGAAATTTAAATACATGCGGAATCATGCTTATTAAACGTTTAAGTTCATTTTGAGTAAGTGATAAGAATGAAAAATCGATTTTGTATGTTTTACTCCACAGCCGCCGCCTTCAGTTTCTGTGGTGCTCGGGAACCGGCAATCAGAATTTTCCCTTGACCGGTTTTAAATGAAAAGGCAAATTCTAAATTAGAAAATTTGCTAAGTTCCTGATCCTGTATCTTTGTGCATGTATGCGTTAAATGTTTTTGGCTTTTGCGTTAAATGTAATTGCTAATATCCTTACAAAGTCCACGCTTGGGAGATTTAGCAAAATTGACTGAGTCGATAACACTCAAAGCTAGCGTTCAAGTCGATGGAGTCTGGAACACAACCAGCGGTCAGCGGCTTACTTAAGTAACTAAACCAACAACTGTGGATGGTTGCACAGTTACACTGCCAGCAATGCTAAACTACTCTCTTAAAAAGTATTAACCGTTCAAAAACGAGCCGTATATACTTAGTCTTTGTATGCATAACGTATACAGTATCTTTATGTATGGATAACTCACTGCACTCTGCAGGGTTTTGCCCTCCGGAAAATACTAAACCACTCCCCTAAAATGGGCGAATCAAAGGCGTGTAACACTTTGGTTACAAATCTCCATAGACAAACCAAAAACAAGACGTTAACACTATTCCTATGCGAAGACTAGTCTTCTTCTTTTCATAGTGTTAAGTCTGCATCTGTGTGCAGACCGACGTAAAAAGTAAAAGCCGAAATGTCAAGGAGCCGAAATAACGGTGGCCGAATAGAGTGAGGACCAAACTGAGCAAGGCGAATTGTATGTTGGCCGAAGTGACCGGAAGTTCTCAACCGCCCAAGTCGGCGACTGCAAGTAGACTAGTTTCACTCGGTCCAGCTGCTTTTATAATTTTCGTTTTGGGCGGCAGAGCTCGATGTATAATATGTCTGTACGACTCGTACGAGTTAACTTTTAACGTAATTTCAGTTGTAATACCTCGTATCAATTAAAAACTTGTTTCTAAACTGTAAAAGGGATTTTTAAAAATGGTACGTGGTACGCATAACTTACAAGTGCACCTGTATCTCTACCGTAGAGATACAGGTGCACTTGTACCGTAGAGACTCTACGTAACCACCAGTCGTACTGTTGCGCCGAAACTAGCTAGCAGTTTTTATCACGTTAAGAACGATAAGAAATTGTTTTAAAATATTAGATAACAGTTTGTATTTTAAATCTTCCAACCCACTCGATGGATTTTACAAAGGATAATTTTCCAAATAATCTGCGTATAAATCTCAATCTGCATATAAATTTTTCAAGGAGGTACCATTGCTCATTTTAAAGTACCCAAATCCGCAAGTTACGGCGGGCTATGGCCCCTCGAACCCCCGCCCCTAAATTCGCCACTGGTTTAGCTTAAAAACAGGTGTTGAAAAAATCCTCCTAAAATTGAAAGAGTGATATTATATTGTACGATAACTTCTTCATTTTGGCAATAATTCGCCATGCACACAGGGGAGCTGGTCAAAATGTGACTAAAGCCGAGTAATAAGACTTAACATCAAATTCTGAATGCTAACTTTATTTTTTCCGTTTACGATGATATTCTGATACGATTTATCTAAAACCAATGGGCGGTGTGCAGGCCGTTCCGCTCAACTGCGCTGGTCAAACAGGAGGACGATGATGCCAAAAGAGAAGAAGAAGATAATTATAACGTGGATGGAAGCCTGGATCAGTTGTGCGAATACGAACTGCGCCTTACAGAGCGCTGGATTCTTGAGACAGACACGATGGAATTCGGGCTTTCTCTGCGTAAGGAACGCAAAGTTACTCCTCATGGGTGGTTTCCCTGGTATCATCGGCGATGGATGCTAGCCCGTATGAAAAACCCGGATTGGATGCGAGAGGTGCAGCTCTGGCAACAAATGCTACAGTAAGACACCAGAAAACGCGCAGAGTAATTTATATTGTGCTACAGATGAGTTTTTCCAAAACGACGTACACAGGCGTTGGTCCCGCGAGAAGGGACTTTTTTGTCTGTATGTATTCTGGTATTCGTATATAGATATGAACATATTCTGCACGAGCACTTTAGGGAAGTGGCCCGGTACATGGTACCAGATTCGTGTACATGCACAAAATTTTCACTTTCGCCCACTCCCGAACTCATTTTTGTTTCGGTTTATGATATTCTCTAGCCAGATGATTTGTATACACTGTCGTGAAACCCGTTAGTGCGCGCAACATCCGGTTCGGGAGTTATGGCTGTTAGAATATTCCAAAACGTTTAAATGCATTTCAGTGTACCAAAGTTTCATTATGGACCGATCTGCTTCAAATTTGTACTTAAATGCACATGGCCTTGAAGATCGTATTTACACCGATCCAGACTTACACGATTTTTTTTAAATTTAAAAATGAATTAAAAATTTTTGGAAATTCATTATAAAATTTGAAAAACTCCTAGGCCAGTGGATGATGTGGATCGGTGTAAAAACGGTCTTCGTGGTAATGTGCATTTACGTGCAAAATCTGAAAGAGCCCAGTCCATAACGAGACTTTTGGTACGCCGGAATGCATTTAAACTTTTTGGAATTTTCTGACAGCCATAACTCCCGAACCGGATGTTGCGCGCACAAACGGTTTCCACGACAGTGTATACAAATCATTTTGCTACAGAAAGTCACAAAACAAGTGAAAAAAGTCCTTGGGAGTGCGCGAATCTGAAAGATATCGTGCATGTACACAAATTTGGTACGATGTACGTACAGTTTATCCAAAACTTCATCAACAGCTTCGACGGTAACTTGCTTCATTAAAGGAAGTTACGCACATGCACGAAAACTTTCTTTCTCAAACGCTGTTTGCGTGGTTTTATGACATGGTGTTGACAGATGATTTGTATGCATTGACGCGAACGCATTTTGTGCGCGCAACGTTCGGATGGTGAGATTTAGCTATTATAAATTTCCGAAATTGCAACGCATACTGTTGTACTCAAAACTCATTATGCAACGATCTTCTTTCATTTTTGCACATAAACACACTTAATCATTACGAAGTTCGTCTGTGCATCGAGCCTGATTTGCCCTATTTTTCAATTTTTAAAATGCATTTAAAAAATTTTCAAACACATTTAAAAATATGTAAAAAGGAAAAGAGCTGTCGCTCGGTGTGAAAGTGACCTTAATAATTAAGTGCACTTATGTGCTTAACTCAAGGTAGATTGCTGATACCTAATAACAGTTTCGTTACACCTGAATGGGTTTAAAATTTCTTGAGTATTGAACAGCCTTAACTTCCCAACCGGATGTTGCGCGCACAAACTGTTTTCACGCCAGTTGTATACTTGCACACGTATATAAATCATCTAGCTATCATCTTACAAAACAATGGAACAATGTGTTTGAGTATGCGCGGAAGAAAAAGATTTGTTCTTCTGCACGAATTCTGTACCATGTGCCGGGCCACTTCCCTTAAAAAGCCGCAATCTTTTAAACAATACACCCCGAAAACCAGGAACCAAAAGGTTTTCCATGCGGCTGGAATGTATAGTAAATTCTAAAAACATTTCATAACTCTCCGAGACGTGTCTCCCATGGCTAAAAATTACAGCAACATTAAAGGCTCAAACAAACCACCGTTCAAATTTTTTATACATTGAAATTATTAGAAAAATGTAACCTTTTAAGACATATAAATGAGACTAGAATCAGTAGAATGGTAAACAGCACTGTTCGGGAGGCTTGCCGATCACTTTAGCCAGTTACATTTCTGCAAGTTAAGGGTAACGAAGTTGTGTAAGCACTTGTCAGAATCAGGCACTTTGAAATAAAAACTTGAGAATTTATGAACCAAACTAGGGTTCTTGATTTTTAATCAATACGTGTTGTATCCTTTGCAATGCTGTGGTCTCTTTTTTATATTAAGGGAAAGTGAGCGCGACGAGAATCTGTACGACTCCGTTTGCCAGCATCGGGCTTACGTTGCAATCCATGGCGATGTCGCTCTGGCGGAGGACTTTATAGCGCAGACTACCGCGGAAATCTTGCGCAATGACGCTACGTACACGGGGTGGGCCTACCGCGCCGCTGTACTGCCCAGACTGTATCCTGGGCAACTCCCGGATGCGGTAGTGGACCGGGAGTACAAACTGCTGCGCAGACGCTTAGTGGTCCATCCAGCCAATGAGCAGGCCTGGAAGCACTGCAAAGGCATGGTCGAAATCCTGCATAACGAAGGTCGTACCGAAGCAGTGGAAAAGTTCTTGGGACTAATATATATTGTGCAAGAGAGCATAGGCGAGAAAGGTTACAACGACTATCCTGATTACTACGAACCTGACGTCGATAACAAACAGGACGATATATGGAAGTTGTTTGCGGTGCGGCTGCTTTTACCGACTGCTTCGTGGCGTTTATTGACACAGGAGGATCAGGAGTTCATCGGGGATGTCGGACGAAGTATAATTTCAAATGCAACTTGGGAGCGTAAACGGCGGCTGAAAGAGAAGAAGCCTTATTGACTTCTCATTTTTGCTGCACTAACTAAGCATTCTTTTATACATTTTTAGCGGTTATTACGAAAGTATTTCTTACGTAGCAGATAAACATGGTTATTGCTATCTACAGTGACTTCCTCAAGGTGGTGTAATTTACACCTACAGCCGATAACGCCATGCATACCGGGTTTATTTGCAGCGGACATTGTGCTAAATTTTCCAGTGTTTATTATGTACGTAATAATAATCAGATATGGCACGATCGGTAAGCTGTTTCTTCACGAGCATGCTAAACAGAAACACAGAAACCGCAAATAATCATATTGAAGCTGATGTATTTCAAGTGAACCACCTCTCTGCAGGGCGCCATCCGAGGGAAACCGCGAAACGGCCGAAAAATGCGCCGATAGGGGAATTAAAACCCCGGCTACGTCGTTAGATCCGCGTAGGCAGTACCACTGCACCACGGCGCAATACGTTGAAATCATTTGAAAGATTTGTCGCTGTACGTGAGCCGCTTCTCTCCTCACACCCCCTTTGCAGCTTTCGCCGCGTCCTCGTGGCGAGACTAAGCGATTCTCCTAAGCGGCTGCAATTACCGCATTCTTTTATCCGTTTTCAAGCGGTTTCCCGATAACCTCAGCGGCTTCCCGATAACCGCATCTTTTCTTTTTCCCCTTTCCCAGCTCGTTACGGAAGGCTAACGCACTAGTCTCATACCATAGGTCCGTGATCCAACCACGATCTGCTACCAAATCAGCAGGGCGCACTCCGAGGGAAACCGAGAAACGGCTGAAAAAGGCGCCGATGGGGGAATCATACCCCGGCTACGTCCTTAGATCCGCGTAGGCAGTACCACTGCACCACGGCGTAATACGTTGAAATCATTTGAAAGACTTTGTCGCTGTACGTGAGCCGCTTCTCTCCTCACAGCCGCATCGACGCAAGGAAATTTCGATTATTTCGTAGCAAGGGTATCTCGACGAAGCGACATTTCACCTATCAGATACCGGTAAATGATTTACTAAGTTAAATCAAAAAGAGAGAAAAAAGAAAACAAATAAAAACAAACCCAAACGAAAAACCTAAGAAACCAAAGAATCCCACGAAACCTAAGAAACCCAGAATCCCAAGAAACCTAAGAAACCAAAGAATCCCAAGAAACCTAAGAAACCCAGAATCCAAAGAAACCTAAGAAACCTAAGAACCTAAGAAACCAAAGCAAACTAAAAAACCTATGAAACCTAAGAATAACCTAAAATAATTTAGTAAACCTAAGAAAACCTAAGAAACCTAAGAAACCTAAGAAATCTAAGAAAATTTATGAAAGCTTAAGAAGACCAAAGAAATTCGAAGAAAGACTAAGAAAACCCAGAAAAAACTAAGAATAAGTCTAAAAAATTGAAAATCTAGTAAGGATTAATTAAGCGCGGTGAATTATTTTGCGGCGATTAGCCGCATCGTTCGAAAATTCCCAAGGCGAAATGTCCGCGAACGTCTTGCGTCGAAATGTCGCAAATGTAAAATGTCTCGAAGGATAGTGTTACAAACCGAAGTGTCCCAGCGACCGAATGTCCGGGGGCGTAATGTGTTCGCGGCGAAGAGTCGCGCGTCGAGTTTGAGTGCGGCGAAATGTCACATTCCCAATTGTCCGGGTGCGGACCGGGCACGAGACCAATTCCTTTAAAAGCCGTAACGCCGGACTTGGCGAGAAGCGAACACCCCGAACGAAACTGATATGCACTCACAGTGATTCACTACGAATTTGTTATTTATTTCAGTGTGTTACAATTTCAGTGTGGTTCATTAAGGCAGTTCGCTTATGTTTCATGTGTTAATGTTGCGCGCATTATCACGAGTTACATGGCGTATGCGCAGTTGTTCTTTTGGGTCTATGCAAAATTCTTGTAAGTTCGTGGCATGCAAAGCGGGGGCTATGGCGGGCTGACATTCCACTGTAAATGCTCAAGCGTCCGTGTGTCGCGCGTAGAATTAGATACCAACTTGCGCATGATGTCAGAATTGCTTAGTACGCTGTTCTTTTACCGCTCGCTGTTTCCGGCAATCTACCGATGCTTATTTGAATTACAAGTTGTGGATAAACCAACCAGTTTCAGATAAAAAGGTAAACGTTGTGTTATACATATTTACCAAAATGCACATTTTAACACTGCCATCGTGTTCAGCACTGGTTTTATGTGCGCTTCATCAGTTAACTTTACTTCTAACGAGTTTGCGCATATATTCATACCAGCATATGCAAACTGTGGGGTTTTGGCACCGAATTTCCATAAAACACAAAAAAATTAGATGTGTCGGAAATGCATTTCATTCAACTGCATGCGATAACGAAACTGCCTACTAATTTCACTCATGACACTGAAATTAACATCTGCTAAAAAGCGAGAAAAATTTAAGCCGTGTTTTAAATGCAAAACGATTAACACGAAATGGTGTAAGTAACAATAAGCAGGGCGCTATCCACTGGAAACCGAGAAACGGCTGAAAAAGGCGCCGATGGGGGAATCGAACCCCGGTTACGTCGTTAGATCCGCGTAGGCAGTACCACTGCACCACGGCGCAAAGTGTTGAAAATCCTTGAAAGACTTTGTCGCTGTATATGAGCCGCTTCTCTCCTAACACACCGAAACAGAAAAACTACGTTCAATAAGACAGCAGTTATAATTTTCTGACAGAAACACAGAAACAGCTACGTTATCTAACTATATGACCGTTTATGGCGATTTGTTAATTTATGTTTTATTATTTTCCTTTTCTTATGACCTCAATTTCATAATGTCATCGTACCGTTTGCATGTACCGGAATGTCAAACCGAAAACAAGCGCGGCTGTCTGGCATTTTCCTGTTTTAATTTAAATTATGTCTGATTTCTGCCGTGAACAACTAGGCACAATCAGTGTCACCGTCTGTGCAGCGCTTTTCAGTATGCAGCAGCGGCTCCATTACCAGTGCTTGGTTGGCGATTATTGTACATCCACTGCCACGCGTTGAAGCTCCCCATAATCCGCGCAAGCGATAGTCATTGCCATACGAATCGGTGCCGACACTCGGTGCAGATTGCCGCAAACGATTTTCCACCACACGTCAGGTTGGTTTTGGCTATTCCGTGCAACAGTCCTCTGTAAAACCTTACCACGAAAACCAATGCATAAAGGTCATGGATTTTGTTATACGCAGTTCTCCGCAGGCGTTCGATTCCGGTCAGTCACGGGAAACAGTTGCAAAAATTACAGGAGGGGCGCCGGCACCGTAATGGTGGGCCCAGACGTCGGGGTAACAGCGTTGTGGGAACGTTGGTGTGTTCTTTAAGAAAAATAACAAGTGAGTAGTGCGAACACGTCTGCGGCATCAAAATTATAACCAGTATAAATACAAGTACTCAAGCGCAAACCTAAATATAATTATTGTAGGTACAAAGTACAAAAATAAGTATAGAAACAGAACACCGCTCAATCGACGACACCGAACAAGCGCACAGTTTTGGATATTCTACAGCACCCTGGATATTCCCTGTCTGTCGCATATTATCGCTCAAAGTGCAGAAACGTCCAACAAAAACAAATTTAATCCAGTAGCCGCACTGAGCGATATGTCACAGCTGCAGAAAGAACGCTCGTTTAAACGCTGATCTGGCACGGTGGCGGCGGCGGCGGCGGGAGACAGTACAGTGGATTCCGGACCGACCGGGAGATTCCCTCCATGTTTATTCTCCCTGTTTTGCACCTGGATGTGCGGTGTTTACATGAGGTTGCATTGATCCAATCCGTACACACGGTCGCCGCGTAAACTTCAGCTTTTGTTCGCGCTTGTCACCGATATTAATCTCTGTGAAGTAATTTTTACTTACGTGCATATTTACTTTGAATAATGATTGTGTGTTATACTGGAATCTGCCCGCATATTGACATCAGGAAATTGTGATTTGTAAATTCAATGAACATTAATCATAGAAAGAAATCACACATCACTGTATAAAGAAATCACATCTCTCCTGAGAAGATGTGTTCGATGACAAAATGACAGTTTCCGTGTACGAGTTTTTACTGCTCAGTCTGGTCCAGTTGTAAACTGGTAAATTGTATCCGGCCGAACATTGACCGAGTCACTCGTTTTCAACGGCTTATCTTCGCTGCATCGACAACGATCGTATGGACCTTGAACCTTCTCGTCATTTCCGGCACACGCTGTAGCTTTTTAACACTAGTTTACAGTTTGCACCGCTTGCGATGCTCGGTCATGTGTGTTGTGCTATCCAGTATTTGTTGCGGATGTAATTCTTTCACTTCGGATAAAATTATTTATTTTTTAAGCTGGATACCATAATGCTGACAACCGCCGTCCAAATAACATTTCCATGCTTAATCGTGTTGGCTGTTTTGCCCGGATTATACCAGCAGCTAACCGAACACACCAGGTTTGTTAAATAATACAATTATTTACGGTATAGTACTGAAGAAAACGTTTTGGATAGCAATTTGGTTATCATCCGATCGCCAAGAGCAATAATCCATCTAGGGCAATATTTATTGGTAGACCATACATTTAATAGCAAACAAAACATTTATATAAGCCAAAAACGATTAACCGTTTTTTGTCCGTTTTGTAAACGATAATGTCATCGTCCTAAAGCGTATTATACTGGGTGCTTTAAACAGCGAACCAGAGCTGGAAAGGCCCGAAACATCCAGCCAGGAACAGTCTCCACCGGCATCCCGGTTTCTGGGCGCCGGCTACGATCTGCAGTACGCGCATCCCATTTCGATGAACCTGGACTCTGGTATCACCCGAAACAGCCTCACGTCGACGAAGCTGCTTAAAATGGAGTACACTGACTATGCCAATTGTCCACTCCACGCCAAATGCCAGATATATCCGGGTACCGGCACATCCAAGCGGATTATTGCTGCCGTGCGCACCTTCGCCGACTATCAGAAACACATCAAAACCACTCTGCATCTGTCGTCTAGAACCTCCGTAAGAAAGCTAAATACTGTCATAGGTAGTGCTACCTACATCATAGTAAATCTACAATATTGGAAACCATGGGGTGTCCCTAAATATTAGCTTATAATTCAGAAAAGGGTAGAAATGGGAGGAGATACATAAAACTAATATGATAATCAAGATCAGAAGGAAAGATATTCCAGTACAAAATCCATGAATACGTAGGAGCACTGCTATGCCCGACAGCGCTATAAGCTCTTACGGTACACATTAAGTTATATTGCAGAAAACTGTGACAAAGAGCATCGGAATTTTGGCGGAAGAGCTGGATGAAACGCGCGCTCATCTCAACGACGGTTTGCTCTTCGTTGACTACATCAGCATGACGATTTTGGAAGAAGACCGGCTGGATCATAATGCGTTCCAACATGTTTCCCTTCAAGACGACTTCGCTGACAGCGTTTGTCGCCTTCCCGAACAGTACGACGCCGATGAATACGTGGCCTTTCTCAAACGTTTCGGCACGCATATGATCGAGAAACTGCAATTGGTTAAATTGTCGCGAACCCGTGTGTTCGTGGACCCGAAAGCGATATACCAGTACTTGGTCCGCACCGGCACGACCTTTAATGGCGACAGTGCCCACTGGGCGGACGGTGTACAACTGCGGCATGTTACTGACAGAATGCTCCTAAGAATTGCCGATGATTTAAAGCAGAACCCGCGTTCGGACAGTGTTGTCAACGAGACTGCTGCGCATAACGTTACTGTGCCGGTTCGTCTGATTGAAATTTCACAGCTGCTTAGCATGGTTGATCTGAATCAGTCTCTTGTGGAGACCTGCAGGTAATGTAATTAGTGACCTAAGTGCAGTAACTTCATAAGACGAAAAATTATGCGCTTTACGCTGTTAAATGTGTTCCTGTTGCACGCATGTAAAGTTTACTGGTTTAATTAATAAATTTTCCAGCCGCACATTTAATCCTCTTTTTTATACAGAGAACTATTCGATGGAATGTCCAAAGCCAACAAAACGGTCTGGCAGAGAACCGTTCGTGACAACCTGTACCGAGCGATGGATGACTACAGCAACGAAACCCAAACCGAACAGCCAATCGTCACTCCGCAGGCGATTCCCTGGCCAACGGAAATACGAAGCCAATTCCGCGCCATCCAAACCCGGCATTTCTTGGCGGGTCAACGGCACTCGTGTGTCAGCGACGCGTTCACGAATGTCCTTGGTCACGGGTACGACCTGCTGCGCGCCGATCCACTGGGTACGGAATTCCACGCCGGGATTCACAGCGGCGAGCCGATTCTCCGGTTTAAGGAGTGCCCGGTCACCGGTAATTGCAACGACACGGTACACTGTACGCTGCTGCCAGTAAACGGACCTATCCCAGAGAAGCATGCCTTTCATGCAATCGAAGAGTATCAAGACGTTATTCTTAACGCGTTGGATATTGATGGTCTTGACGTAAGTCGTAATAATGAAATAACGAAGCCATATATTTCGCAGTACTGACGTAAGAACATAGTGTTACATCTTACACGCGTTATTTTCGACAGAAAAAAAAACTTAGTCGGAAAAAAAATTTTGTCTCACATTGTAGGGGCTCATTAAATCAGTTATGGTTCACTTAATCATACATGGCATTTAAATATCCATTAGCAGCCAGCAATCCATGCCAGCGTTGGGATGCGCAGCTCCATAATGCGCAGCATCCGGCAAGGCGCCACAATTAACGACACATTCACCCAATCGTATCAACACGAGATGAGGTATGTCTACAACAAGGAGGACCTATTTCTCGACCCACACTTTCTGTCCGCGGCTTGTTCCTTGCCGGATCACTACGACCCAGCAGAATATACGAGCTTCATCAAGCAGTTCGGGACCCATATTGTCATCCGCGTAAAATATGGGAAGTTTGGCTTAAACCGAACTATCAACTACGCCGACATGGAAGCGGATACGACTGTGATCGATACATCGATTCGACCGCTAAAACTCACCGTTAAGAACATCCCGTCGTTCTTCACACCGTTGACCATCCGGCAATCAGCGGTTCCTCCTGATTGCGACAAGTTTCTTAACACGACCAGCCTGCGGACTTTCCGAAGGTTCCTCGATCAGGCGATCTTGGAGTACGCTACAACGATGGGACTTCCGACAACGATTACCACTTCAACGACGGAGGCGGCAACTACAACTACAGCAACAACTACACCTACAACAACCACAATCAACCCGGTCGTCTTCCTTCCGCACGGAACGATCCAGGGCGTGGTTCGGGACGCCGCCAGCATGGATTACCTTTCCGGCGTCACTGTCACCGCGCGGGTACCCCGGCAAAACTTTCATTCAACCGCACACACGAACGCCAACGGGGATTTCTCAATGTCTTTACCGAGTGTGCCGAGTTACGATCTGCACTTTGAGCTGCCGGGTTACTATCCAGCCGTGCTGCACGGGATGCCGGTAATCGCCCACCAGACGATGGTGGTCGAGCCGTTGTTGTACATCAACCAGCGCTTCACCGGCACCGGGACCGCCAGCGGGAACCTCACCAACGCGGTAACCAGCCAGCCGGAACCCGGCGTCCTGATCCACTTCCGTCGCGGAATCAACGTCTTTGTCGGGGACATTGTCGGCACATCCACCACCCTGGAGTCCGGTCGCTGGACGGTCACCCTTCCGACGGGCCACTACACCGCGACCCTCTCTAAACCCGGGTCATCCACAACCGACTTTACCGTGGTGGTCCTCGGTGGGATGGATAAACCGGGACAGAATCACGTGATTACGCCAATCGTCTCTCAACAGCAGTGGCGGTTCGTCTTACATTGGGGCGAGTGGCCGCTGGATCTGGATCTGCACGTGTGGGGTCCGATTGAAAATAACCGCAACCGGATGCACGTATACTGGCGCTCCAAGCTTAGTCCGGACAACCACACGGACCTGGATGTGGACGATATGAGTAGTTACGGACCGGAGACGGTGACCGTGCGGAAACAGCTGCCCGGACTGTATTATGCCAGTGTGCACGATTACACCAACCGGGAGACGTGGAACTCCACGGCGCTGGGCGAGTCCGGGGCGGAGCTGCAAGTGTACCGGGGCAGTGAGCGGATGGGACAGTACTTTGTGCCGCGCGGTCGCGGGACGACGTGGAGCGTGCTGCAACTCGATGGGTCACAGATTCAGGTTATTAATCGGATGAGCCATAACGGGCTGACCAACGGCGTCGATAGCAGCTGAGGTGTTTTTGAGCCGGCTTGGAGAAAATCAGGAATGACTGCTGGACGTTTCTAATTCTTGTTTAGCTACGGCAGTACCATGTGTGTTAAGATATTTAACTCGCAGAGATGGTTGTGCGCAGATCGCAATAAAAAGCCGCGTTCCGATATTCATTTGTTTTGTAGCTCATTCCAGTCAAGGGTGCAGGAGGTTTCCATAAATTTATTGTACTCTCCTCGGCGTATACTAGTTTTATAAGATGCCCTGTGTGTCCTGTGTGTGCTTTTATGTGTCCTTCCTATTAGAAAGTTTTGTCTTTTACGGCAGCCTTATTTCTCCGAATGACCATGCTGTTTGTAAATCGTTTACTACATTTGGCTCGTACGGGAAAGTCTCTGAACCTGTTAATTTGGCACGATGTGCCTATTCATTGCTGACGCGGAAAGCAAAATGCACTGATTACAAAGACAAACCGTCAACCATACAATCATCGACATTTGTGCCGTTGGGCACTTGCAAACACAGCTGTCAAGCCTCAAACCACAAACTTGTAAACAGCACCGCTGTTTTTTATTAGTCATGGGACACTCTGAGATGCCCTTTTGAAACCTGATGTTTATGACCAATAAAGCAATCGAATTACGTACACTTCTGCTGCGGCTGGCCGCTTGAACGTGCGAAATTCCCGGCTCATGTGTACAATTCTGTATCCGCTTCACGTTTGCAATAGTTCCGCTTTCAGTTTCTTATTCAAGCGGTTACATTTGTGCCAGACACAGCATCCAGTGTAGACCATGGCAACCGTCAAACTCATCCATAACGTCATAAACCGAGTAATCTTCGCTTCCGGTGTTATTGCTGCTGGACACGACAATCCATCGGCCAAATCTTTCCAGGCCGAACCGCTGCACATAATGACCAGGCAGAATACGAGCATCAGGCACCAGGCAGAATACGAGCATCAGGCAGTGCAGCAGCGTCGTGGCCAGCAACGACAAGTAAGCGACATCCAGACACGCCACGACCTCGGATACTGGTTCACTCTTTCCGCCAGGACGCCATCAGAGCCAGAAATCTTTAAAATCTATGTGAGCACACTTAAATTTTGGAAAGAGGGGGGTAGTGACTATTTTGTTATTTTCGTACTGGATTGCATTGTGAAAGTTTTGAATGTCCAGCGACTAATCTACTGTTGATTTTATTGTGGCGTGCGTGTGTCAGTTAGGCGAATTTGTAAATGATAGTGAACATTTTTTTGGGACAATCGAGAGTCGGAGACATCGCGCGAAGCTGACGATGCTGTTTGCCCAGAAAACGTTAGAAATTCAATCGAAATAGGTTATTTACCAGTAACATATTTTGGTTTGTTAAATTTAATGAAAATTTGTAGTAGGTTTGTGAGGTCTCAGGATTTATCTTGTCTTTCTTGGCCTGGTTAGAATGCTTATGACTCCAACGCTATCTGTTTCTGATTTCAGTAATAACGAAATCTGGAAAGGGAGAGTGTACCGGTAGGTAACTGTATCCATCAGAGCGACAGAATACCCACGTACTAAAGCATGTATACTAAGTGCAGCAGTCAACTTATACTCAGTGATGTATCGTTAGAGTACTCTGAAGATGCCCTTACGGCCGTACTGTTAAAAAACATGATCTGGAAAAGGAATAAGAACAAACGCAGCTTCAACAGAAATGTTTCGCAATAATATTATTGCGACGGAGATGTGATACGCGACCGGGATAAAATGGATTATTAATAATCCATTTTATCCCGGTCGCAAGTTCTCTTTGAATTTGTATGGAAACCCGCTGCCAGAAAAGCCGGTTAGAATATGCATTCCTAAACGAAAAGGTCGTTCTCGAGAAGGCTCGACAATAAGCCGTTATTTTGCGTACAAGAAACGAACGTGCGAGAAACGTGTATTTTGTGTAAAGCACTAGAATTCATTCTGTTAATTCATGGCAAACTCATTTATATAATATTTAGATGATAGTAAACTACATAGTGTACAATGTAAGCGCATTAAAGAAGGTGAACACGTGAGCGCGCTTTCGTATTTTCGAAAGCAGCATAGACCTGCTTAAGGAAATTCAAGCAGATTTGCTGTTGTAATGGTTCATCGTGCCAATAAGTACTAACTGTGAGGATCGGCCACAATCCTGCGCATAAAACTGGATCTTCGTGAGCAGGAAACAGCATTGTAACTGCGGAAGTAACGGAACAACTGCACAGATGCGCATATACGGATGTAGCGCAACTTCTGTCAAAAATGCGGTTGGACTAAATACGTTCACCAGCAAATGTGCACATTGTGGGAGAAGGCGATACGCATGTATACCGATTGGCGTTTAAGCTATTCTTCACCGCGCATTTTCTATTTGCGTAGTTTAGTTTGTAATAAAACGAAATGATTAGAACCTGCTAAATTACACAGAAGAGGGGAGTATTGGTAATTTTTAAGCACAAGTTCTAATCTAGATGAGCACATGGCCCTTTATGTGAGCACATTTTGTGCTATGTGAGCACAAGTTTTCAGGCCCTGGACGCCATTGATGAACAGCTTTCGATATCCCAAAGTTCAGTACCGACAAGCATGCCCCCGCGGCCAGAACAACCCCGGTCATGACCAGGAAAAACCATGCCACCATCGGCGGGGCACCGTTCGCCTCATCCAGCTGGGAAATGCCAGTCGTCAGATGCAGTATAAACGTACAGATCCGGTACATTGTACCAAATTCGTATATAAGGGGAACTCAACTGCTGAGGCCAGCACTCCTTGTACTTGCTGCCGTCAGCCGGCTGGAGTTTTACGTTGTGGCTAAACATGGCGCTTACGTACCGCGCCTGATTTAACCGTACGTATTGCCGTAACGTCACACTCCAGGCGGGTGACTGCATCAAGTACAGGGAGTGCTGACCTCAGCAGTTAAATTCCCCCTATATGCACATGCACGAAAACTTTCGTTTTGGCGCACTCCTAAAGAAATTTTTGCATTGTAGTACAGCATTACGCAGGCAGAAGATCTGTATACTGACGTATACAAGTCCTCTGCCTTCGCTGGCGTGCCGCGTGCGCAACATCCTCTAGCGGAGTTATGGCTGCAAGAAATCCAAAAAGTGTGTAACCATGTAGGTGTGCCAAAATCCTCATTATACATTCAAGGCCATTCAAGTTCAAGTTTTACATGAAAATACTTAAAAGCAGTTGCTCTACATGGATCCTGCATCAGCATTTTTTTCACTTTTAAAAAGAATTTTAAAACATTTAAAAACTGAATTTTTGTAGAATTTTTTTTCGGGTTTTACTCGTAGGTTAAAATACATTTTGAAGCATTGTAGAAACGATCCTCATGCCTTACAGACTGTATGCATTTTCATGCCAAGTTTCAACAAGACAGGTTTATATTGAGACTTTTGGTACTCCTAAAATATTTAATGCTTTTAAACTTTTTGGAATTTTCATACAACTATAACTCCGTCAACGGATGCAGTGCGCGCCAATAGATTTCAAATCAATGTGTAAAAATCATCTGGCTACATAGTTCTGTAGCACAGTGCGAAAAGTTATCTGGGAGTGCGCGGAAGCGAAAGTTTTCGTGCATGTATAAATACGAATTTGATCCCATGCACCGAGTCACTTCCTTTAAAGCATGTACTCTGTACATGGCAAAAACAATTAGGGAGATAGCATAATGCTTACCATACTCTTTCCGCGGTGACAGACAGCCAGGCTATAGGCCACCCACCCGAAGGGACCGCATTCCAGAATGAATCGGAGAGCGGACAGCAAACAGTTCGCCCGCATGTACTGATAAATAGGTCGCATTTCACGACAAACAACATTTCCGTGCTGCGGATCTTCGGCGCAGTCATCCACTATTATAGCACAGAAACAGACAGTCAGTCATTTTAAAAGCTCCAATCCGTTACACAAGTAAAGACTTTTCGGGAATTTTCTTACATTTCACAGAGGCTTTCTCTGGCAAGGGAAAGGTTGGTTAATCAGTGGCATTAAAACTTTCCGTACGTGGCATTACTCTACTTACAAGATCAACTAAAGAAATACTTACTATATTATTATGTACTATAATAATGTCAGTTCTAAATATAGAATGTCCCATCAGCAGAATGCAATGTACAAAACATCTCGGTTGGTGGAAATAGCCTATATGGCTACAGTAAATCTCCGTAAACAGTGGCGCACTTCGAAATCTATGAACGTGTTGTGGTCCATGGATACGATCGATATGTGAAATCGCAGCATGCGCAATGCTCCCTAACCGGCCTTGCGTCCAATCAATAATTTCACTGCGATGTTTACGATCGTATTATGAGCTGATCATCGTGAACCGTGCGGCAGTGCCACAGTCTATCTGTACAGTAAAACCAGGGGCAAGATTGATGGATCATAATCATCATAATATTATGAATTCTGAGGACGGGACACTGCGTTAACATTTCGATAATAATCGGTGTACGTTTCCGTTATCTTGATGGAATTATGCGCCATCCGGCCCATATTAATTATTACAAATACAAACACGTAGCAATTTGGTCAAAAATGGATACCCGTATGTTCCAATGTATCCAATGAATTTTTTCATCTTAATCAGACGGACAATCATGTAAACATGTTGCTTCTTATTATTTAAATATTTTCTGATAAGTTTCTTGGATCGATGAAATATTTGTTCATTTCTACATATTTCCCGTTTTTTAGTTGTTCCCGTGAAATCATCACAACGGATGCCTCTTTAAATTAATTAGAATTGCTTAATAAGATCGGAAAGTTAAATTCTAAAAATTAGTTCAGTATTTAAACTCAAGGAACACGGGATATGATAACGGGAGAAGATGGGGGCAAAGTTTTTGATTATGCGATACATTTCATTTCGCATGAACAGTCCGATTCATTTCGCCGTAGCCCGTACTCAATTCATATAATTATATAGACCTATATTATAATCGTAAAAGCGCAGTTGAACGGTGATGCGATTCAAGTGCTTTCAACCTTTGAGCCACAACGTGCCATGGACGCTTTTATCTCGTTGGAAGGCGAACAGTGAATCCGGCCAACCCGTACAATATGAGTCAGTCGTATCTGTATGCCGGAAAGTTATCATGTACAATCATTGTTCGCTAGTATGACGCACCATGATAACACACTAACTGAGTTATGGTATGTCCTAATAATCGGCAACGCGATAGCAGCTCGCGAACCAGCCGCGTCATGTTTATCTTAATCTAGCGAGCATACCAGTATAAAACCTGTCGATGTTGTGCAGCAACCAGCCTTTTCCACGCCGTGTAAGAAATGCCTGCATGGAAAAAATAGTTGCATTGATACTTCCCGTAGCCATCGACGCGCTTGGAGCAATCATGGGCGGACGGAGCGCTAAGCCTGTGGATGTGGGCGCCATTACGCGTCCCCTGGAAGAGGCCATGAAGCGCCGCGAACAGGAATACCAGGCGCAGCGCCAACGCGATAACGAGCTTTTCCATCAGCGCTTTGAAGAATTAAAGAACGCTAACGCAGCCGAACGCGATCGCCTAATGCAGGATTTCCACCGTGAGCAGGAACAGCGGGACCGCGAACGCCAAGCCGAACAGGAGCGTTACGAAGCACGCCTGCTGGAATTAACGCGGACCATCGACGACAGTCAGGAGGAGCTGAAAAAGGTCACCGATCAACTTCAAAAACCCATTAAGGACCGCGAGCAAAAGATTGCTTTTGTGAACAGCTTGAATTTGCCGATCCACCAGACGAATTCCCTGTTGCTGTTGGGTCCAAAAAGGACTGGGGAAAAGCACCTTCTTGTGGTTGCTGAATGAAGGACCGAAGCCGAAACAGTCACGCTCGGACGGGACGGTGGAGATCCTGCATGTCAGCGGGTTCGTGGACTCCATTGGACTGCGCGGATGGACGCCGGAGGAACTGCTGAAACTGCTGGTTCTGATGATCTACGACGGGATCCCCAAGGACCTTATCGTCTTCGGCAACGACCGCATCGATCAGCCCATCACGTCGCTGGGGCTGTTGGGCGTCAACCATCCCATGATTGTCATTATGTCTAGTGATTTCTGGAGGAACTTGGAGCCGGCGCGTGGTGGGGAGCCGCGGATTCATCTGGTGGACGACGGCAAGGGAGTGCGCCGTGTTGAACCCGAGGCGCATTTGGAGCGGGTATATAATACGCCGGTGTACGAGGATATCAAGGAGTTCCAATTAGGTATCACGCCCATCACCCACCACGACAATTTGGAGCTGCTGGTGCAGAAGCGGGAGGACGCCGGGATTCGGCCGTTCCGCTTCTTCATGGACGGACTCGGACAGCAGTTCCACGTGGAGATGGAGAACTCGCACAACATGGAGGCGCTCTTTCGCTTCATCTACCTCTACGAGAAGAAGTATGGCAGAGACCGGCTCAAGTTCATGAACAACGCAACGCTGCAGGACTTCAAATAAAGGCGCTGGTGCTTTATGATTTTTGTGGTTACGGTCTTACAGAGTACAGTATGCTTTAAAATAAGCTATTTTTTTAATTTAGTGTAACACATTATAATTTCATTATAAAAATGTCAGAAAGACTTAAAATTGTTGTTTAGCATTTTAGTTGCAATTTATTAAAAGAGCACGACGCTCACGTATTGACATTGTTTAATATCGCAGCACAGACGTTTCGCGCAATACCCAGTAGCCGTTTTCCACTTCTCCTAGCACTGCGTACAAATCGTTTGTCTAGGAAACGTAAAGCCGTAACGCAAAATGTTTGGGGTTTGGCATTACGGCGCCCTTTATTTCCAGTGTAATTCGACAATCTGGCAGCATTGGTAAGGGATTTTACTGGTACGTCAGAGAACGTGCAACGATTTTTCGCACATCGTGATGATTCCTTTTTACACAACACTGACAGCCGAAACCCTAAGAATCGGTGCGCCGATGCCGCACCCTGTCGGGCGCCAACCCGTCCAAGTTTGCCACCGCGCTCGCTTCCGCAACGGCGATAACGATGTAACGATAACGATAACGACGACCGGCAGAGCATGATTAGTCACCGTGTTTCGGCAAATTCAGCACCCTGCCTGGTTTTCTCTTTGGTACAAATTGAAAACATGTCATACAGAGCCAATAACAGAGGTATGACATGTTTCATGTAAGCACGCTCTATTATAACAATACCGCCGAGCAAATGACACGCCTAGATACAAAATTTATACAACTGCAGAAATTTGTGAACAAGCACTTCTCTGTTCAAACCAGAATTGCTGGCGATTTCCAGTATACGCGCTGGATGACTGGAGGAGTTCCACTTCCTGTTGCATACTGGCGGTTGATTTTATTTGCATATAAAACTGGCGCTTTTCGTCTGGCCAGTTTTTGGTCCCCACCTGAAATTTTTTTTCGGTAGCTTAATGACCAAGTTATGCAACAAGAATATATCGCTGATGTACCATATCAAATAACAACCAGGCAAAATAGGGAGAAAACTTTTGGTATGCCCTTCGCACTATCGCGCCCATGTACAACTACATTAATGTAATGGGCAAGATTATGCCCATAATCTGAGTATTATTGTTGGAGGTGGAGTATGTCTGTATTGTTGTGCTGTCTCCTGTCGGTTGTATGCTTGTACCGTAACCAATTAGCGAGCACCGTGCACCATCGCCCTTGTGGCCAGTTGGCAGCCAGTAGTATAAAAAAAGGCGCGCTCGGTGCACGACGCCACATTCGGCACTGAAGTAGAATTCGCTGTTGCAATTATTTTGTTTTGATTGTGTTATTACTAGTACTATCGCTATGGACGTGCCGAAGTCAAAATCAGCCCTAAAAAAGCTGAATTTTAAACAGTTAAAAGACTTGTGCGACCAACTTGAACTTTTGTACGCCTGTGATGACGCCAAAAGTCAGTTGTACAAAATCGCAGAATCCCATCTGTTTACTGATGCCGACTCCATCGCCACTGTCGTGGAGCGTTTGAAACTGGACAAGACTTGCCAGGATGAACTTGAAGCTGAGGGAATCACATCAAAGTCCACCCTGCTGATCCTAGGGAAGTCATCAAAATTTCCCGACAATTTGTCCATTGTTAGCCGGGAAGGTGTCCGCTGTATCCTGGAGGAGTTTATCCGAGCGGAACTAGCCAGCCGGAAAACAGCAACTCCAGCCACCGGACATAAATCCCGCCAGTATTCGTCGTCCCGCAGCAGCAGCCGCCAGCGTACCGACACTGCCGGGCAACATCATAAAGGTCACCATGCCGCCACTGCCTCTGGCGTCCGTATGCCCCGCTTCCGCACCCCAACACCCGTCGGTGAGTTGTGTGGGAATAAGCTCGCTCGTTCTAATAGTATTATGTCTGTGAATTCATGCGGGAGTGCTAATCCGCCCTGTGCAGACCCTGTTGATGGCCGTTTCCCAAAGGAAGCGCGCAAGCTTAAACAGCCGCATGAACTGGCTTGCCCAAAGCCAGGCGCTAAAAGTAAAGCCGTATTGCCAACTGATTTATCTCTTGACGAGTTTTCCGTACACAGCTGGCGCACAGCTGTGAAATTATGTAAAACTATGTCTGGTGGGTACGCAAGCACATTGCTGGAACACCTGGAATATAATGAATTTCTGGCCTCAATGAGATGTAGTTTTAGAGATGACGTTGTTTTGGCGTTTGATATGGAATTCCGTCATCAGGCGGAAGAAGAAGAGTTTTCCCTGACTGACTTTAATGAGCGTAATAGTATCGGCGCGAAACACTTTCATGCCGGTAACCGCCGGCAACACGGCCCCAGCAGTAACGAGCAGCTTTTTCGTGGGAACAGCGGCCCACACTCGAGCCGCTTTAAATTCGCCTGCTGCTATGCCTTCCAGGAAGGCAGATGTCCCCGCTCAGCTACCGCGTGTGCCTTCAATCATGTCTGCGGCGAGTGTGGAAAGCGCGGGCACAGCTTTCAGGAGCACCGAGATACCGGCGCCGGCCCGGCCGGCTCCGCTCGTGGCTCAAACTAGTGTTTCGTTTACTTCTGTCTCTGACAATCCAGAGCGGACTTGTTTGTCTCCCTTCCCCGAATTGTTAGAATTTTGTTCTTTGTCGCGCAACTACGCTAATTGGGTTAATGAGATCTCAGGCATGGAAAATGCACGCTTCATTCTTGATGGTATTAGGGAAGGCTTTCGTATTGTTTCTGATGTGAATGCAATCGGGCCGACCGATTGCGCTAATTACCCAAGCGCTCTTAACAGCGAGACTAAGCCTGTCTTAGATAAGCTGTTCCGCGAAGAGCTGGAAATAGGTCGCATTCAGCGACAGACGGCAAAGCCTCTGCGTATTCATGCGATAGGTGCTGTGCCTAAGAAGGAGACGGGATCTGTGCGTCCTATAACAGATTGTAGCCGTCCATTTGACAATTCCCTGAACACCTTTATAGAGGCAGATGCATTTAGCTTCGAATCTATTGACGATGCCTTGCGATTGGGAACACCTAACTGCTATTTCGCCGTTGTAGACATAAAAGCTGCTTATCGCTCTGTACCTGTGCATCCGATGCACTGGCAATTACAGGGATTTCGATGGGCTTTTGAGGAGAATCAGACGCATTTTATGTTGACCGTTGTCTTTGCTTTGGTTTAGCTAACGCGCCGGCGATCTTTCAGAAAATTTCGTTGGCTCTAGCTAACATGATGCGTAAGCGCGGCTTTGTTGTTGTCTGTTATTTGGATGACTTTCTTTTAATTGGGAAAAATTATGATAGTTGTAACGAAGCATTATTGTGTTTTTTAAATTTACTCACAAATTTGGGTTTCTCGGCAAAATGGGAGAAAATCGCCGGCCCAAGCCGGCGGATGACCTTTCTTGGGTTAGTAATTGACTCTGAATTGCAACGCCTAGAGCTCCCGGCAGATAAACTTAAGAAGTTGTTAAATTTAATTAAATGTTACCAATCCGCGACGTCTATTTCAAAAAAACAGTTGCAAGAATTGGTAGGCCATATGTCGTTCGCTTCAAAGGCGGTGTATGGCGCCCGTACGTTTACACGAATTTTTATAGATCAGCTCTCGATGCTGGACAAACCGTGGCACAAAGTAAAGGTCAACAGTCTTTTACGTCACGAACTGTCATGGTGGGAGAAGTTTGCAAGCGAATTTAATGGTCTGTGTCCGTGCCCGCTAGGTACACCCCGCAAAGAGGTGGTAATCTGCACCGACGCGTCCTTCACTGGGTTTGGTGCAGTTGTCGGTGACACGTGGCTTGCCGGCACTTGGCTGCCGGATACTGTTGCATCACCCGGCTTTGAGCAGAACTGGGTGTCAGCGCCTTTGCTGCACGGTTCACTGCAGGGAAATATTAATTTTCTTGAATTAATTGCGGCGTGCCTGCCGCTCATTCTTTGTGCATCCCGCCTTGAAGGATGCAAAGTGCTGGTTCTGTCGGACAACACCCAAACTGTTTCCTTCCTCAATAGAGGAACGACAAAAAACGTTGAAGCGCTTAAATGGCTAAAGCGCGTGTTTGCCGCTAGCGTTGCTCATGACTACCGGGTCGTGTCGGCACACTCAGCCGGCATTAGAAATGTTATGGCAGACGCCCTGAGCAGGTTGACCGAGTCACCGCAGCACAGGGCACGGTTTTTTGAATATTTTCGATTTCCCATCCCCGGGCCTAATTTGTCGTTGTGTGCTTGTTGCAGTAACCAACTTACATCGTAGGCTGTCGGCACTTCGCCTGAAATCGATGGCAGCCGGCACAGCCAGAACTCGCTCCTCTCAGTGGAGAACCTTTGTCTCCTTCTGTGCGCAGTATAAACTGCGAGCGCTACCAGCCACAGAAGAAACTATTGCCTTGTATATTGCTCACTTATCGAAAAGATTAGAATTTCTTACTGTTAAAAATTATGTTTTCAGTTTGGTAACGTTTCACACATTTAATAATTTTGACCCACCTGACCTTAACCATTTCGTCATCAGGCAAGCATTGGCCGGACTGCAGCGCAGTCGTACTGAGCTGCCAAATAAGCGCCTACCGCTATTGCCAAGCGATTTGCTAAAAATTCACAAAAATATGTGCGCTATAGAAAAGAAGTTCCGGCGTTGTTTTTGGGCCGCAACAGCGGTTGGGTTTTTCTCGTTGTTGCGCAGTTCAAACCTGTTTGAGAGCAAGAGTAATTCGCACCTGCTTTATCGTGACGTGCGGCTTACGCACGAAGGTGCTCTGTTGTCAGTTAAAGTTTTAAAAACCGATCGTTTTCAACAGAAAACAATCGAAATTCCAGTTCCCAGACTTGGACGGGAAAATTATTTGTGTCCCAGGGCGGCGCTGAAGAAGCTGATGCAGCATAACCGCTGCAGTGCTTCGAGCGCATTGTTTTCTTATTTTGATAATGGTACATTGACACCAATGTATTCCAGTCTATACAACCGCCTACTATCCACGTGCGCCCTCCACGCCGGCCTTGATGCATCCCGCATTTCCGCCCACTCGCTACGCAGCGGTGCCGCAACATTTTCAGCACAACTGGGGATTTCCGCATCCGCGCTGAAAGCCCAAGGCCATTGGAAAAGCGACTGCTACCAGCAGTACATTCAACGCGATTTCCTTGAACGTTCGGATTTTTGCCACGCCATTCGCAACGCGCTGCTCTGACTCATCGGCCATCTTCTGTTCGTCTCGCACTCACATGTTCCTCTCCGTGTCTGTTCTGGGGGTTTTGAGTTGTTTCGCTACGCGGTTGTGCATTTGCAATAAAGAATATGCCCCTTTTAGTAGTTGTTCTGTATGTAACCGGAAACAATAATGGGCAAGATTATGCCCATAATCTGAGTATTATTGTTGGAGGTGGAGTATGTCTGTATTGTTGTGCTGTCTCCTGTCGGTTGTATGCTTGTACCGTAACCAATTAGCGAGCACCGTGCACCATCGCCCTTGTGGCCAGTTGGCAGCCAGTAGTATAAAAAAGGCGCGCTCGGTGCACGACGCCACATTCGGCACTGAAGTAGAATTCGCTGTTGCAATTATTTTGTTTTTTCTTTTTTGTTGTTGTTTTCTTTTGTCATGAGGTTGTTTCGCTACGCGGTTGTGCATTTGCAATAAAGAATATGCCCCTTTTAGTAGTTGTTCTGTATGTAACCGGAAACAATAATATCGTATTGACATTGTCGATTCGACAATGTACAAAGTGTTCTAAAGTGCGTAGAAGCGGAACACACACGTATTCTGCACAATGTACCGGGTGTCCGGGTCAGTTTCTTTAAACGCATGCTGCCATAATTATGATATCGTATTAATTTTTTTGCAGAGCCCATCATTTCGCCGTTCATTGTACGAGTACTGGTTCCATGGGTGTACACTGTACAGTATATCGCATGCGTGCGATTGCGTAGCAGCTTTTATGTAATTGCTATTAATTTTACTGGTTGCATCCAGTGGCGTTGGGAGCTACGCTAAACGGAGCGGCTGATTAACAACTTTCTGGCACTTTCTTTCAACCATGTCTCATCACTAAATTCCAACAGTTCCCGCTAACAGAAAATAGTATCGCTCGAAGATCGTTCTGTGGCATTTTTATTTATTGTTTTGTCAGGAAAAGCTAATTGGCAGCGGCGCGAGCACACTCTAAGCCAGTGTCTATGTTTTATCCGCGCATGCGAAATTTATCTTGTTTGCCAAAGTCAGCGCCCAGAAATGAACTGCCGGAACCTGCGTGAATCAACTGCTTGTCGGAATGCTATCGTCCGACTCGGTAATCACGATAGCGTTTGCGTGCGGCTTATCGCGGAAGTGCGATAAGAGGTCGCGCATTCCCTCGTCCAGTCGACAGTATACAATTAACATAGCCGGTTAACCGGTCCTGTACACAGTGTACAGTCACTTAGAGCAGCCGGTCGCTGTCAAATGACTCAAAACCAGCAGTCACTTATATTGTACCAGTGTTTCTTATAGCGATCAACGCTTTTCTCTTCGATCATGGGTGATCTATTTGGCGGACGGAGGTCGCCGCATCCACAGCGCCGCAAACAGGAATATCAGGCACAGCGCCACTGCGATGACGCGCTCTTCCAGCAGCGCTTTCCAGAGCCGGAGAACGCCAACGCGGTCAAACGACAGGATCTGCCACAGGAATTCCCGCGCGAACAGGAACAGCGGGAAGATGAGCGAAAAGTTGAGCAGCAGCGTTACGAAGCGGAACGGCAGCACCAGGCGATGCAGGCCGGTCGGGAGCAACGGCAAAAGGTCGCCGATGAGCTGCAGCGCTCCATCCGAGACCGCGAGCAGAAGATCGCTTTCGTCAACAGCCTGAAACTAAAGATTCGTCAGACGGATTCTCTGCTGATACTGGGTCCGAAGGGAACCGGCAAACTACCTTCCCGCGGTTTCCTTTACGTCGCTCATGTGGTGGCTGAACAAAGTGCCCAGGCCGAAACCGTCACTCTCGGACGGCACAGTGAGCAAGGCCTTCCACGCTAAAGAACCCTTTAACGTTTGTCTTTTTAATGCAACACAAACCCTAAGAATCGTGACAGTATCCACAGCCAAAAACTTCTGTTTTGAAACGCCTGCCAAAAAATTACGCTGTGCTCAAATTATGTAAAACCTTACGTATCGCGCTGGCACTCGGACGAAGAAAATCGTAACGTGCCGGTACCGGACCCTTTCAAGTTCACCATATTGCTCGCTTTCTAAACTGCGATAACTATGTGTGCCGTTACTACTGAGCCTTGTTAGTCAGTGCTGTCTGGGATTCTCATCATTTAGCATTACAGGTACCCTGCATGACCTGATCGCGTTTCCCTTTAAGCATGTTATCTCACATTATTATATCGCTGAGCAAACGACACGCCTAAAAGGCACTAACAACTGCAGAAATTTACGAACAAGCCCTTCTCTATTCAAACCAGATGCCGGACAACTGTTCACTAGACGACTGGAGGCGTGACTGTTGGCCGTGGCACACTGTTTCTGGATTCTGTTCTTAAAGTACTGTCCCGGTGTTGCGCAATTAATGCGCGCACCAGTGATCAGTCGCCAGTGTAAACACAAAATGTCGTAACATAATATATAAATATGTACAAGTAGACGAAAGCGGAAGCGTGCATTTACACGTTCTATATACAATGTACTGGGTCAGATTTTTCGGGCAAATTAAACGCGTATTATACCAGGTTATGGGCAGAGGCCCCCATTTCGCCATCCATTGTGGAAGTATATGCTTCAGGAGGGTAATAAAGCCTAGATTCAGTAACTAAGCCAGGTTGTATTGTAGTCGTTGACTGATTGCCGGCAGCAGTGCTGCGAGCTACGGCTAATCGGACTAAGCTGCCCCGCATTCTTATAAGTATTTGAATGTGACCGTTTGTCAATTTCCTTCAAGGAAGTTACCGCCTCATCGCCAGGTTCCAAAATTTCCGTTCCAAGATCGTTCTGCAATTTCGTATTTTGTCAAGAGGCCCTTAAGCGACAGCGACGCGATCACAAGTCACGGCTCTGCCGATGTGTAAATTACTGACAGTACTGAGTATCTGCCCATGCACAATTTATCGTGTTTCCCATAGCCAGCGCCCTGCCATGAACGGGACAAACCTGTGTGAATCAACAGCATATCGGAATTATCGTCGGTGACTCGGTAATTATCATGCACGACAGCGTTTGCGTAGTCGGTTATCGCGGCAATGCGATAACAGGGCGCGCACTCCCTCGCCGAATCGGCACTCCGCAGTATAAAATTATTTTCATGCCGGTGTTGTACATTGAACCGCGCACTTGTGATTCTGCCAGTGTCAACTGAATAAAATTCTTTCACTATCCGATAGTTTTTAACCCTACGAGCACGTTCTATTCAGTCATGGGTAATATCTTTGGCGGAGGATCGCCGCCGCCGGTGGATTATGCCGCTATTACGGCCCCTTTCGTCGCAGCAATGAACAACCAAGCGCAGGAGCACCAGGCGCAGCAACAACGCCAGAACGCGCAATTCCAGCAGCGTCTTGACGACCTGACGAAGAACAACGCGGTGGAACGCGAGCGCCTGAGGCTGGATATGCAGCGCGACCAGGAACAACGCGAGCTCCAATGGCAAAAGAAACAGCAAGAATACGAAGCCGACCGGTTGGAGTTAACGAACAACATAAAGGAAAATCAGGAACAGCTGAAAAAGGTCACCGAGGAACTGCAGCTCCCAATTAAAGAGCGCGAAGAGCGAATCGCCTTCGTTAACAGCTTGGAGTTGCCGATTTGGCAGACAAATTCCGTACTTATGCTGGGTCCGAAGGGAACCGGAAAAACCACCTTCTTGTGGTTGCTGAACAAGGTTCCGAAGCCAAAACCGTCTCGCTCGGACGGGACGGTAGATATCGTGCATGTTGACGGGTTCGTGGATTCCATCGGATTGCGCGGATGGACACCGGAGGAACTGCTGAAGTTACTGGTTCTGATGATCTACGAAGGAATCCCCAAGGACCTCATCGTTTTCACTAACGACCGCATCCAGCAGCCCATCATGACGCTGGGTCTGCTGGGCGTTAATCAGCCCATGATGGTCATTATGTCGGGTGATTTCTGGAAGAACTTCGAGCCGAGGCATGCCGAGGACCAGCTGATCCACCTGGTGGAAGACAACAAGGAGTGCGCCGCGTGGAACCCGAGAAAAATTTGCGACGCGTGTACGATTTGCCGGTGTACGAGGATATCAAGGAGTACCAACTGGGTACCACGCCCATCACGCATCACGACAATTTGGAGGCGCTGGTGCAGAAACGGGAGGACGCCGGGATTCGGCCGTTCCGCTTCCTGATGGACAGTCTCGGCAAGCAGTTTTTCGTGGAGTCGGAGAATAATCATACCATGGAAGCGCTGTTTCGCTTCATCTACATCTACGAGAAGAAGTACGCGAGAGACCGGCTCAAGTTCATGAATAACGCCACGTTGCAGGACTTCAAATAAAAGATCACTGATATGCTACGTCGTTGTGATTTTGCGCGTTTGCCAGCTTAGCGATGAAAGGCTGGATGAAGCTTGAGATATCTTTTACATCAAAAGTCGTTGATATTATGTGTGCGTTTTTCGTCGCACTTCGCAGTTTCTTGGAAAAGCACAACTGGTCCAAAATAAGGTTCTAAATTCAGAAAATGCTATTGTTTGCATAAAGGTAGATTACGAACAGACTTGGGCCACCTTTTTGGTGGAGGGGAAAAATCCCACCTTTTCCGCCCACCTCCACCTTTTTTGGAGGGCGGAGGTGGGTGGGTGGAAAGTTTGAAGCAGGTGGGCGGTGGCGGGGTGGAAAATACGAGCGCGGGCGGAGGTGGGAAAAATTCAAAAGTGGGAGGAAAACGGACCCGCCACATTCAAAAAATATTGTTTTTCAGCCCAAAATCGAAAAAAATTTTCACTGACATCATTGTCACTTTTGGCAATCCGGGCACGTGAAAAATTAAATACTTTTTTAATCACATGCTCCCTGTAATACTCTTCAAGTGCAACACAAGCCAAACACACAATAAAAACTGACGAAAATTTTTTTTAAAGCCAGTCGGCGGGCGGGTGGACAGTGGAAACATTCATTGTTGGTGGGCGGAGGTGGGCCATTTTTTAAGCGTGGTGGGACGGGGTGGAGTGGAAAATTTGTGGGGTTAGGTGGGGTGGGTAAAGGGTGGAAAACGCAAAGGTGGCCCAAGTCTGATTACGAACCTACTGTGCTTAAAAATATATTTTTCGGTGCAGAGATCAAAACCTACAAAGTAAAAAAATTCAGTGAGCTGAATGCGTCATAGCGATAGAGACAGAGTACTAAGAGCAGTTTGGTCACCACACTGTGGTGAAAGCTTATATGTGCCGGGTTTTCTCTGGCTACGGTTTTAACACTAAATTAACACAAAATAGTGATAATACAGTAGTAATCACAGTATTGCTTACTGAACGCTCACTTGGGTGCATGTAACGCACTTCTTAAGGTCACGAAAGACACAGATGATTTCTGATGTTTTTGCAATGTTTAAAATTGGATCATCTTACGTAATGTAATTCTGCGGAGGGTTATTTAACTATCGTGTGAACTGGCTGGTGGCGAATAAAGTGGTATACTTATCTCCACGCTGGTTTTCACGTTTCATAAACCAGCTGCACATTGTACCGATCGACCTTCCCGCCGTTTACGAACGTCTTCACGCCCATATTGAAATTTTACGGAAGCTGTCGTCTGCAGGTCTGTAAGCTGATAAAACGAATGACACACCGCCGATGCAATTCGGGCGTTCACGCGATATAACGTTCGAACCAGAAACAAGAAATTAAGACAGAGTCGATTTATCGTGTTTGCGAAGACCACGGCAGTAAATCTGGCCGAATCGGTATGAATCAGCGGGGCCTGCTAGAATGTTATCATCTGCCATATCATCCAAGCGCACCGTGACGCTTACACTCCTTCCACTGGGTTCGGGCTTTATCAGCGTTAGCAAGATAACAGACCAGCGCACCGGCACCGTCACGTAAAATCCACATTAATATAAAAATGAAGAGCCGACACTGCACAATCTTTATTAGGAAGTGTTATAATATCTGCATGGACCAAATAGTTCCACTGATTCTTACGGCAGCCATCGACGCTTTCTGGTCAATCATGGGAAAACGGCATTCGAAGCCGGTGGATTATGCCGCCATTACGGCCCCGCTGGTCGCGCAAATGAACCAGCACCGACAGGAATACCAAGCGCAGCGGCTACGCGATGATGCGCTCTTCCATCAGCGCCTCAACGACCTGCAGAACTCAAACGCGGCGGAGCGCGACAGCCTGCTGAAGAATTTCCGCCTGGAGCAGGAAGTGTGGGACGGTAAATGGCAAGCTGAAAAGCAGCGCTACGAATCACAACTGGAGGAACTGACGCAGACAATGGAGAGCAATCAGGTGCAGCTGCAAAAGGTCATCGCTGAACTGCAGCTCCCCATTAAAGAGCGCGAAGAGAGAATTGCCTATGTCAACAGTCGAAAGCTGCCGATCCGGCAGACGGAATCCGTGCTACTGTTAGGTATGAAAGGCTTGGGCAAAAGCACCTTCTTGTGGTTGCTGAACAAAGGACCCAAGCCGAAACCGTCACGCTCAGACGGCACGGTGGAGATCCTGCATGTGGACGGGTTCGTGGACTCCATTGGACTGCGCGGATGGGGCCCGGAGGAACTGCTGAAACTGCTGGTCTTGATGATCTACGACGGGATCCCCAAGGATCTTATCGTCTTCGGCAACGACCGCATCCAGCTGCCCATTATGTCGCTGGGCCTGCTGGGCGTTAACAATCCCATGATCGTCATGATGTCCAGTGAGTTTTGGAGGAACCTTGAGCCGGAGGATGAGGATGACCAGCCGATTCACTTGGTGGAGGACGCCAAGGGGGTGCGGCGCGTGGAACCCGAAAAGGATTTGCGCCGCGTGTATAATATGAAGGTGTACGCGGAAATTAAGAAACACCAACTGGGTACCACGCCCATCACCCACCACGATGACTTGGAGTCGCTGGTGCGGACGCGGAATGACGCAGGGATTCGGCCGTTCCAGTTCCTTATGGACGGACTGGGTCAGCAGTTCCATGTGGAAAAGGAGAACGACCACTACATGGAGGCGCTCTTTCGCTTCATTTACATCTACGAGACAAAGTACAAGAGGGACCGACTCAAGTTCATGAATAACGCAACGCTGCAGGAGTTCAAATAAAAGATGACAGGTTGTTTCCCCTTTATGTTTCTAATTAATTAATGTCATTTTACTGAATCCATATTGCAGTCATGCACCCACACATTGTGCTTTGTCCAGCTGCTGTTAGCTGGTTACGAGATATAAACGTGCTTTGATGAAACCGAGCTTCACGTTTTATTTTGTCTTTCATAAATTAATTCCCAAACGCCCATACACAGTAATTACAACGACGATGACATCGTATATATTAATGAATGATCGTTATTTGAAGTCCTGCAGCGTGGCGTTATTCATGAACTTGAGCCGGTCTCTCTTGTACTTTGTCTCGTAGATGTAAATGAAGCGAAAGAGCGCTTCCATGGTATGGTTATTATCTTTTTCTCCATGAAAAACTGCTTGCCGAGACTGTCCATCAGGAAGCGGAACGGAACGGCCTATGATGGTGGATCTAGAAAGAATCCACGGACAGAGACAGAAACGGAATCTATCCTGCAGAGTGAGCAGTGTTGTATACTACGAGCTATGCGGAAACGCAAGACACCCGACAATCAACTGCACACTTTTATATCCCATTCATATAGCACTACAGATGCTCCCGCAGCAGATGCTGCGGGGCCAAAAGTACAGCAAGTTACTCAGACGACGATGGCTAGCAACTGAAGAATCTACCAGATCGAAGAGCTGGTAGATGGAGAAAATCACTAGCAAAACAGCAAAACAACTTAGCACCCGCACCTGTGCGGGCGTACGGGAGGCCACTCTTCCTCACATGCCTGCGGGTGGAACCCGTGAGGTCCTCCGAGCGTATCGCGCGGCGTCGCGAACTCCCCTCCACGTCTTCCCGGGTTGAAGTCATGGGTGGCCGCTGGGGCTGTAAACCTCCGCTCACCAGTCCACATAGCCGATGCGCATCCTTCACACTGCAGACACGGCCTCGTGCCTGCGGTACTGGAAAAACTGACACATACACTTTCGTTTCACTTTTTTCGCACCTTCGCTTCGGATTCGTTTCATTTCTGTATCCTCTGACGTCACCGGTGCCTGCGGTACTGGAAAGACGTCACATACGGCTGCTTCACATCGGTTTACGGTACACTTCGGTTCGGCTCGGTTCACGGTTCGCTTCGGTTTTGGATCCAGTCCGCTCTGACCTCTTTAACCTTGTCTGGGTCGACGCACTGGCTGCGACGAAATTTACGACTGCGACGACGTCCAACCCGGAACTGGGCAAATTCCAATTTTCTTCAGTCGGAAAAGGTCACGTTCTGAGAAAAATCGGGCAGGGGTTTGGGGCACTGGTACACTGGTGACCCTGCAAACACCAAAATACGCTTCTTCAGTGGGGAAATTCCGCTGCACCCGTCCAGGAAAGGTCGTCATCCCAGGAAAATCGGGCAGGGGTTTGGGGCAAATTGACACTGGTGACCCTGCGGAGCAGCTCATTGCATCGTCTGTGGTGGCAGGGTACACGTGGGCTTCGGTGGCTGGCAGTCCTTTAGCTGCTGTGGACTGGAGTTGGCGTAGTCGTCGCTGGCTGGTTGCTGACATTCTTGTTCCATCTTCTTTTCGCGATCCATCTTCTTTTCGCGATGACGGCATCCGTATAGCCGTTCTTCTTGTTCCATCTTCTTTCGCGATCCATCTTCTTTTCGCGATGACGGCATCCGTATAGCCGTTCCCTTTTGCTGCTGCTGCTGCGGTATCCTTATAACCGCTTAAACGATTAATGGTCCCAATGGATAAACGACACGCTCTGCTACCATATGATGGTGGATCTAGAAAGAATCCACGGACAGAGACAGAAACGGAATCTATCCTGCAGAGTGAGCAGTGTTGTATACTACGAGCTATGCGGAAACGCAAGACACCCGACAATCAACTGCACACTTTTATATCCCATTCATATAGCACTACAGATGCTCCCGCAGCAGATGCTGCGGGGCCAAAAGTACAGCAAGTTACTCAGACGACGATGGCTAGCAACTGAAGGATCTACCAGATCGAAGAGCTGGTAGATGGAGAAAATCACTAGCAAAAACAGCAAAACAACTTAGCACCCGCACCTGTGCGGGCGTACGGGGAGGCCACTCCTCCTCACAGGCCGAATCCCGGCGTCCTCCCGCTTCTGCACCAGCGCCTCCAAATCCTCGTGATGCGTGATGGGCGTGGTACCAGCTGGTATTCTTTGATTTCCTCGTACACCGGCAAATCGTACACGCGTCGCAAATGCTGTTCGGCTTCCACGCGCCGCACTCCCTGGGCGTCCTCCACCAGATGGATCAGCTGGTCCTCAGCATGCCTCGGCACGAGGTTCTTCCAAAAATCGCCCGACATAATGACCATCATAGGATAATGAACGCCCAGCAGACCCAGCGTCATGATGGGCTGCTTTATGCGGTCGTTAACGAAGACGATAAAGTCCTTGGGGAGTCTTTCGTAGATCATCAGAAACAGTAACTTCAGCAGATCCTCCGGAGTCCATCCTCGTAGTCCAATGGAATCCACGAATCCGTCTACATGCACAATATCCACCGTCCCGTCCGCGCGAGACGGCTTCGGTTACGGAACCTTGTTCAGCAACCACAAGAAGGTGGTCTTCCCGGTTCCCTTCGGACCCACCATTAGCACGGAATCCGTCTGCCGAATCGGCAATTCCAAGCCGTTGACAAAGGTGATTCGTCCTTCGCGCTCTGGGGGAGATGCAGTTCTTCAGTGACCCTTTTAAGCCGTTCCTGATTTTCCTTTATGGCGCTGGTTACCTCCAGCCGTTCGGCTTCGTATTCTGTCCGTTTCTCTTTCCATTTCAGCTCCCGTTGATCCTGGTCGCGCTACATATCCAGTTTCAGGCGCTCGCGTTCCAGCGCGTTGTTCTTCACGAGGTCATCGAGACGCTGCTGGAATTGCGCGTTCTGGCGTTGTTGCTGCGCCTGGTGTTCCTGCGCTTGATTGTTCATTGCCGCAACGAAAGGGGCCGTAATAGCGGCATAATCCACCGGCGGCGGTGAACTTCCGCCAAAGATATTACCCATGACAGAATGCGTTCGTTGGGTTAAAATCTATCGGATAATGAAAGCATTTTATTCATCTGAAACTGGCAGTCTCACAAGTGCGCGGTTCACTGTACAGCACCGGCATGAAAATGATTTTATACTGCCAACTCGGCGAAGGAGTGCGTGCCCTGTTATCGCATTGCAGCGATAAGTGATTACGCAAACGCCGTCGTGCACGATAGTTACGGAAGATACCATTCAAATATGCTGTTGATTCACACGGGTTTGTCCCGTGCATTGCAGACCGGCTTTGGCAAATACGATAAATCTGGCATGTTCGGATATGTAGGAGTACTTTGGCGATTTACACTTTGGCACAGCCGTGACCTGTGCTCGCATCGCTGCCGCATAAGTTTCTCTTTACCAAATATAAGGTACAGAAGGATCTTTTGGAACGAAGATTTCGGAACTGGGTGATGAGTCGGTAACTTTCTTGAAGGGAATTGACAAACGGTTAAGTTCAAGAACTTATTACTTCTAGGGATAGCTTATTCCGATTAGCCGTAGCGCGCAGCACGTCAATGACATCAGTACAGCCTTGCTTAGTTACTGAATCTAGGCGTTATTACCTCTCTGAAGCAAATACTTCCACAGTGGATGGCGAAGCAATTTATCAAATCATCGAGTTGTCAGCAATTTATCAAATCATCAACCAGCTGACCAAACTGACGGCGGTGGCTCTGGATGAAAGAAGCAGGAGACGGTTAGCCATTTAGTCTTTGCAGTCACGAGCGATCGTCATCGAGGAACACCAGCTGTCGGCTCCATACGGAATCAACTAGACCGGCAGATGGTTAACGGTAGTTTGCTGTTTATTGACGGAAGCGTTGGCTTAATTTTGTATGGAATTTTGTTCGTTTGGAAGACTTGTGATTATCTCTGTACGCCTAACTGAAGCAGTGCACTTCGATGTTTATCGCGTTTCGGACACTTTTGCAATACGGATTCTCGTACCACAGACAGGGTTCTCTATACCTTGATCCACATGGGAAAACTTGATAAATTTTTAATAATCTTATGTATAAATAAATTTGTATAACAACGAAAATTATCATTGTCAGAGGCCCACGACTGCGCCTGGTGCGTACGGCCCACCATGGACGTACTTGCACTCATGCTTGCCGTTATCGCCTCTCTCGCTGTACGTACGTGTGCTGCTGCACTGCACTCATATCCGCTGAAGCGGATATACGCGGCGCACACACTGAGCATACTTGCTCTCTCGTCCCTCTCTCGCAGTATGACTCAGCGTTCATACGCTCGCGTTGGATTGAGTCCAGTCTGCGCATCATCACACAGCTGATGGCACACAGCACGTGCTTGCCGCCAGTTGCTTCTTTCACGCCTTGGCGAACGCTCAAGAGCTTTTCTAGCATTCACCTGCTTAGCCATCAGTGCTTTGTTCTTGCATTCCTGCTATTACGCAGCATTGTTCCCTTTATTTGTACAATAAAGCACACTCGTGATCTCCTCGCGCTTGCCTGTTACATGGTAAACAGAATCGTTTGGTTTTCTTTCGACGGACCTTTTGAGGAGACGGTGAAGGCTCAAATTACGGAGAACTGGTTAGGAACCTGAAAGTCACTGCTAGATTGATTGCTGAAGCAATCTCTACCTTGACTTTGATCAGAACGGTCGCATCGTCTTACAGCTGAGGAAAACGAGGATCACTGAAGTGATTCTTGCCCAGCTGGTGAGCACAGTTCCTTGGTCTCTTCCACATTGAAGAGCGGAATCTCATTTCCCAAACGTACGGACTTTTCCCAACTGACGGATCAGACTCGAACGAGAGTCTGCAGCGCGAACGGATTAACACAATTATACGGGGACCATCGGTTTGAACACCGACCCGCAACTTTACTCGCGGATTTCAGCACGGAAACGACGGATTTCCGACCTCGGACGGAGGAAATCGACCGGAACCGACACCGACACCGACACTGGTAAAGTCACGGTTATAGGTCGATTCTAGCCGAAACTAGGTCGGCATTTCACTTTCTAACGGTAGAAAACTATTTCTATCCGTAAATCTAAAATGTCTAACGGTTAAAAAGTAATTTTCGACGGAGAAACCGACTCGGAATTTTGCTTTTGGTCGAGAACCGACCTGTCAGGTCAACGAACCTGTCTAGACAGTAAGACAAAGGCTAACCGGCAACAGGTCGGAAATTCTCTTATTTTTGATTTCTAACGGTGTTTCGACCACCAGAAAATTTTCTTAATTAATAAAATTAATTTC